ATCATGAAGGTAATGGAATATGTACCTTCGGTGCAATTTATAAGCAATACTGTTTATAAAAGGTTACAGAGAAGTACCTAGATAAGAAATAACAATTGCTAGTATGCATTGGGCCCTTTCTAGATGTCGTGTATTCTGACACTAAATGCTTCAGGTACATTTCTCAGTTTTCCAGCAATTCTGTGAAATAGGTATCGTAGTTCCCCCTTGCTTTACATGGTTTCAGTTACCTGAGTTCAACTGTGGCCTGAAAATACTAAATGAAAAATTCCGGAAATAAAGAATGCATAAATTTTAAATTGGGCACTGTCCCGAGCAGTATGATGAAATCTCAGGCCATTCCACTCAGGACGTGAATCATCCTTTTGTCCAGCATCTCCATATTGTCTACACTAAATCTCCGTACTGTCTACACTACCCACCTGCAAGTCAAGTAGGAGCCATCTCAGTTATCAAATCAGTTATGGTATAGCAGTGATTGTGTTCAAGTAACCCTTATTTTACTTAAAAATGGCCTCAAAGTGCAAGAGTGGTGATGCCGGCATTTCAGATATACCAAAGAGAAGCCATCCAGTACCTCCTTTAAGTGAAAAGGTGAAAGTTCTTGGTTTAATATGGAAACGAAAAAAGTTATATGCTGAGATTGCTAAGATCCACAGTAGGAACGGTTTCTACCTGTGAAAATTATGAAGAAGGAAAAAGAAATTTGCAGCATTTTAGTGTTACACCTCAGACTGTAAAAGTTATGGCCACAGTGTGTGATAAGTGTTTAGTTAAGATGGAAGAGGCATCAAATTTGTGGGTGGAATTCATCAAATTCACGAAGACATGAAATGTGTTCCAGTTGACAGTAGTTGGGTTCAGTACTACCTGTGGTTTCAGGTATCTACTGGGGATTTTGGACTTTGTATCCCATGTGGATAAGGGGTGACTATTAGACTACATACTGTTGTTTCCTTTTGAAACTGGTTTAGTGAGAAATAAATTGTTCAAGGTCACATGGTTTGTAATGATAGGGCAGGTTGAGATTTGAACTCAGGCAGTCTGTGCTCAGAACCCAAGAGCTTAATCACTGTGGTCTCCTGCCTCATCCTGATTTCTCAACACTGGAGTATTTTTTTAAATTTAAATGTCTGAGGTTTTTCTGAGGCTTATCACTTGTTGCCTCAATTTGACATTAGCTGAATTTTGTCTGAAAATGTAGACAGTTGATGTTGACAAATGGATACATTTTAATTACATCATATAGAGTTGTAGCGTTTGCGTCAAGAACTCTCTGCTGTTGACCCAACCACCATTTCACAAGCATTGAAAGATGAGGGTCTCCATAAATGTAGACAGTACAGGTAACATCTTTTGTGTCCTCTGGAGATTTTATCTTGCCTCAGTAGCTGAAAAGTACTTAAAGTTTCAGTTTCTTATATCTCTGTAGAAAGAATGTGTTTAATTGAATAATACACAAATTTTCAAATCTTTTTTTCAAGAAGAATATAAATTCTTAAAAGTGAAAGTAATCAGATTATAGGGGTTATTGAAAATTAAAGTATTAGCATAATCAGTGCTATATTATTTTGTCCTTAAGAAATACTACACATTTCATCTATTTTTTTCATTCTTTTGGAAGTCATTAATGGTTTTGTTTGTTTAAGGGTTGCTTGTAGTCTTTTATTTTGAAACTCTGGCATTTTGGAGCATAATAAAGGAAGTGGTCTTTTAGCTGTTACCCACAAGAGGATGACACCATCTTGCATGCTTACCGCAGGGACTCAGGCTTGAGTGTACATCTTGTTTCATTGAACCTGTGCAGTGCATGAAATCCACTTTTTTTCTGAGTGATGATAGTGTCATTCAGTGCACAATTTAAAAATTTTAATGACGTCCAGTTTGTTTATTTTTTCTTTTGTGGCTTCTGCTTTTAGTGTCGTATCTAAGCAATCATTGCCAAATCTAGTATCGTGAAGCTTTTGCCGTATGTTTTCTAAAAGTTTTTTAGTTTTAGGTCTTATATTTAGTCCAATTGTGACGTAATTGTTATATATGGTATAAGGTAAGGATCCAGTTTGTATTTGTGCATGCAAAGATCCAATTTTTCTCAAAATCATTTGTTGAAAAGACTGTTCTTTCACCATTGAATGGTCTTGGCTTTTGTTGCAAATCAGTTGACCATACATGTAAAAATTTATTTATAATGTTCTGTATTAAATTTAATTGGTCTATATGTTTGTCTTTATTCCAGTACCACAATGGCTTAATTACCATAGCTTCTTAGTAAATTTTGGAATCAGGAATGTGAGACTTGCAACTTTGTTCTTCTTTTTCCAGATTGTTTGGTTATTTAGGGTTCCTTGAGATTCCATATGAATTTTAGGATGGATTTTTCCATTTCTGCAAAAGAGTTATTGAGATGTTGATAGAGATTGCAGTGAAGCTATAGATCACTTTGGGTAGTATTGACATCTTAAACCACATTAAGCCTTTCAATCCATAAACATGGAATTTCTTTCCACTTATTGGTATCTTCTTTAATTTCTTTCAGCAACATTTTGTAGTTTTCAGTGTAATAGTCTTTTATCTTTTTGGTTAAGTTTATTCCCAAGTTTTTTATGCTATTGTAAATTGAATTGTTTTCTTAATTATCTTTTTGGATTGTTCATTGTTCATGTTTGGAATACAACTGATTTTTGTTTATTGATTTTGTATCTTGTAACTCTACTGAATTTGCTTATTCAAATAACAGTTTTTTGGGGGAAATCTTTAGGCTTTCTACATATAAGATCTTGTCTGCAAACAGAGATAATTTTACTTCTTTTTCAATTTGGATTCCTTTTTTTTTTTTGCTGACTTGCTCTGGCTAGGACTTCCAGTACTATGTTGAATAGAAGTGGTGAAAGTAAATATCCTTGTCTTGTTCCTGATCCTAGAAGAGGAAACACCATCTGTCTTTCATCATTGAGTGTGATATTAGCTGTGGGTTTTTCATATACGGTCTTTATTATATGGAGGTAGTTTCCTTCCATTCCTAGTTTGTTTTTATTTTTAAACATGAAAGGGGGTGAATTTTGTCAAGTGCTTTTTCTGCAGCAGTTGAGATGACCATATACCTTGAGATTTTGTAACGAGGAAAATGGCTGTGTTTCCCACCCTAAAAGATATTAGAAGAGGCCTCAGCAATTTAGAAAGTATAGTTCTGTTTCATGAAACCCTATTCTTTTCCATACCTTTTGGTGAAGCCGAACACTGTTGTCAATTGTAGCAATCAGTCTTAGATATTTTCCTTTCCCAACCTGGTTACTGTTTTCTTAAGCCCAGCAGTAGCTAAACTATAGGATTCCCTTCTTTCTTGCCAATAATTGAAGGACAAAAATAAATCAATTTGGACTAATCAACAAATGGCTATGAGCCTTTTTTCATGGAATGAATTTATTTTTATTTTATTGTTTATATTATCATATAGGAAAATTGATTTCCTTTTGGTATACAGTTCAGTGAATAAACATATACATAGGTTCATGTAACTACCATCACAATTAGGATGCAGAACAGTTCCATCACTCCTTAAAACTCCTTGCTATCCCCTTTATTGTCACACTTTCCCCTAGAATCCCTGGCAACCACTGATCTTCATTATCATAGTTTTCTGTCTTTTTTGAGAATGTTATACAGTATGTAGCATCTTATGTCTATGACTAGAAGCTTAAGTGTGACTGAAGTGAGGAGCCATTTTGAGCAACATTCTTCTTGTTCTGCAGAATTGTTCCAAACTGTGAGCCTGGTGTTATCATCATGGTAGGAGATCATAGTTGTAGGTATATATGTTGTACTGGCCTCAGAGCACCAGCCTCTGAACCTCTGTTGGTCCCTCTCTTATCAGTGGGGAAGGGTGTTGGCCAAATTCTAAGGCTGTATGTTGGGATTGGGATTAAACTTTTAGCACATGTGCATCAAGAATTAATAGCAAGTAAGGTTACCATCTGTGGGACATGGTCATTTCATGGACCACCATGTGTTATTTACACATGAAGGACAGTGAGGAGAAAATGTATTAAGCTAAAACCTAAAGAATAGCAGCTCCAGTTATCATATCCTCCTACAATTGCATTCATATGTAGTAGGAAGGCTGGAGCAGCTAATGTGATACGCTCTTCTCATGTGGGGTTTTTTTTTTTTTGGAGGAAAAAAGGGAAGAAAATCCTCAAAGGGAAATCGTTTCGTGAATCCCCCCTAATAGACTTGCTCTTATGTCTCATAGTCAGAACTGGGTCCCTTAGTCATTTTCCAACATGAAGGCGAAGTAGGTATCTTGCATTTTAATATTGATCATGTAAAGTGGGCCGAGACAAGAGGATAACGGATCTTTAGTAAAAGGCAAAAGATTTATACAATCTGATGAGAAACCAGAATATCGGAGGATAACAGATCTGCCTTACCCATTGTTGTAAGGATTAAATGCAGTAATGTGGTTGAAGTATCTATAGTTGGGCTGAGCACATAAAAGGCTGAGATCTCATTAATTTTTTTTGTTTTGTTTTATTTCTCCCTTCTCTTTAGTTTTTCTTCTTCATTTTTTAGCTTTAGAAGCAAGACGTCTAAAAGTCTTGCTCACCCTCCCTATATAAACACCCTGTTTGTCTCTTCTACCTCAACCTACTTTTTGGAGTTCTGCAGATAAGCTCTAGTTTCCACAAACCATTTGCAATTTCCTCAATTTCTCAAGAAAGTCCTTGGGTCCGACCTTAGACAAAGGATACGTTTTTATGCCCAGTACATAGATGTCGATTGTAAACAAGACACTAAGCAATCCTTATAAATAAAAAAAGAAAAGAATCAACAAAGTATGTTATTATTACAATGTTAGCTTGCACTAAAAATCATCTATTTCAGTATAGTGAAGCTCTTTCCATACAGAAAAGGAGGAGCAAAAGGCGCCCCCGCCTGTGCTGTCTGTTCCGACTGCTGGCTCTGAGCGCCACAAGTTGTTTCTTGCCATTAGAGCAATGACTTCAGTTTTTCCATTCCAACCGTGGTGAAAATGAATAAGAAAATTGAATCCTGCCTCTGGAAGCAGGATACAGGCTCCACGCTAATCAAAAAAGGAAGATTCATTATTAGACAATATTTCATTCCCCAGACTTTGAAGAGTTCCTACATTTGTCAGAGTAGCTCTGAATCATTTCATGACTGCCGCAAGATTAGAATGGGGATATTGTACAAGCCTAACCCTTTGCAGGAAAGTTTTTTTTTCCTCTTTCTAAATGAGTTGCTCTTGCTGTTCTCTGAGTCACTGCAATCCAAATCTTATAATTTCACCTCCTTCTTTTCTAATCATTTTACCAGATAGCCATTTTAAGGAGGTAGGGGAGCACGAGTGGATATTTTAAAAAAGAGGCCATGACTTATCCTGAAATGAATTTAATTAGGACAAGCCAATGAAATATTGACACTGTAACCAGGTAAAAGGAGAATAAAATTTTTAGGAATGTACTTGTTAGCAATAAAGACTTCAAAGGGCCACGTTCTATTTGCCAAACCAAAGCTGACTTAGTAATGGAATCTTGAGCCAGTGCTGATGAAAGGGATGCAGGGCTGAGTGCCCCAGTGACTCCTTGGCTCTGAGAAGCCCCTTTCTCAGACATGGGCTTCCCTGTCTCTCACCCAGTAGAGAAGCCAGCAGAAATATGCTCTGCAGCCCTATCATTTATGAATATCCAAAGACAAAAATGTTGACAACCACAGGCTGTGGCACTGTGGGATTCTGTTGGACACATTGCAAAGGAAAACCACCAGCAGCTGTCTGAAGCTGGTTTTCTTTTATATTAACATTTGGTTAATAAAGCCTGTACCAAGAAACAAACGAGATGAAAAACCAGCCTTCATTAGGAATGCCTTACTGCAGGCTGGGAAAGATATTGCTTTGTCCAAGTTGGTATGTTTTTATCAACTTGGACACCTCATGGATTTAGGTGCTCTGGCATTACACAGAGGGAGTTGGAAGCCTTCCTCTCCTCCATCGTTATGGAAGCCAGGCTGACATACAGGAAACTGAGGGTAACCTCTGTAAAGAGAGCATGGGATCATGCTCAACTGTGTGGGGTGAGTCCCAGTGGGATGGAGAGGACATGAGGAATAGTGTGAGATGAATCCCTTCAGAGCAGGGGCCCCAGCTGGCTCATTTTGGTATCTTCAGCACTGTGATCTTGTCACAGAAGGTAGGGACTTAATAAGTAAATTCCAAATAAAGATCAGCTCTACACTTTTATTCACCCATCATTTCATCCTACCCAATTTTATACCTTACTGCCTCTGCCCAGGCACTTAACATATACACCAAAATAAAATCACCTCCAAACCCTGATGAGTCTTTAAACAGACACACAGTCTCTAAAAACTCACACACTCCTGCACTCACATACTGATAATCTCTCATTGATTCTTGTTTTCATTCTTTTTTTTTTTTATCTCATGCTCTCCTTTTCTCTCCTCTCTCACCAGCATTGTTGCCAGGAGTTGAAAAAAGAAGAGAGTAATACCCAGTTTTTCCAAGCTTTCACCAACCAGTTCACAAAAACACAAGGATGAAGAATTAAAAAAAAGTAGAGGAAGAAGACAAGAGCAAGATGATGGTGGAGGGAAGACTAGGAAAGAAAGAAAACCAGAAAAGTCAAGCTTCCCATTGTAGATAGGGAGTTAACTGTGAATGTTAATGCTCTTCTCCTAGCAGGGTTGAGGAGGATACTCCCACATTTTATAGCAAGTTGAGAGTCCTGTAAAGATAAACTGCTTTGGGCACATTGACTTGTGGAGAAACAGAAAAAGGGAACTATGCAACTTCCATTCTGTCATAAATTCTGGCCATTTGTTTTTCATGAATAGTTTAGTTTCTTATGGATATGACTTTTGTTTTTGTATAGGTCCCTTCCATCAAACTGACTCTTGCACAAAGTGAAATGAGGAGTACTTTTTTGGAAAAGTACTTGACTACTTGGTGAACACAGATGCCTTCTTGGCAACTGTGATGGTTGATTTTGTATGTCAACTTGGCTGGGCCGTGGGATGCCCAGATGTTTGGTCAAACATTATTCTGGATGTTTCTGTGAGGGTGTTTTTGGATGAGATTTATGCTTAAATCAGTGGACTTTGAGTAAAGCAGATTGCCCTTCATAATGTGGGTAGGCCTTGTCCTGTCAGCTGACAGCCTAGATAAAACAAAAGGCTGACCTCCCCAGAGCAAGAGGGTATTCTCCAGCAGACTGCCTTTAGACCTTATCTGCAATATCAGCTCTTCTTGGTTGTCCAGTAGACTGCCTTTGGACTTGAATTGTAACTCTTTCCTGAGCAGGCCTCTCCCATCAGATTTTGGACTTGCCAGCCCCCACAGTTCCTTAAAATCGATGTATCTATCCAGACAAACACACATGTACACCTTATTGATTCTGTTTCTCAGTAGAACCTTAATACAGCATTCTATAAGCTGACAAACAAGGTTGGGATGTAACAAATATGTTAGTGCCTCTCCTAATCAGCACCATAACTGAGGAGTGTGGACTAAAGGGCTGAGAGCCCAGAATCTTAAGTGGCCTGGTTATGTGTACGCTCTGCCCCTTCCAAGAGCTCTGCCCTGGATAGGTCACCTAAGCTCCAGAAGCAACAATTACCCACATGATTAGTGCACTGCCAACCACTGATGTATTCATTTTCTATTGCCACTGTAACAAATTACCACACTTTCCATGTTTAAAGCAACATAAATTTGACTTGCAGAAATGTATGAGAATAAATTTATGTTGTTTTAAGCTTCTGAAAGTTTCAGGGGAAAATCTGTTTCTTGCTTTTTTCAGCTCCTAGAGGCCACTTGCATTCTTTGGATCATGGCCCCTTCCTTGCATCACTCCAACCTCCTGCTTCTGTTGTCACATCTACTACTCCTCTCACCTGCTGCTTCCCTCTTACAAGCATGCTTGTGATTACACTGGGCCCACCTGGATAACCAAGGATCATTTCCTCCTCATGTCAGTATCCTTAACCACATCTGCAAAGTCTCTTTTGACCTGTAAAATAACATTTACAGGTTTAAGAGATTAGGATGTGGATGTGTCATTGGTGATGGTGATGGGGACATCATTCTACCTACCACGCCTGCTCAGAAGTAATTGGTTACAGATGGAAGGTGAGATGGGGGAGGATTCTAAAATTTCAGAATTGGAAAGAATTCTGAAAGAATTCTTTCAGAAGATTTGGAATTGACACCATTTTATTTTTTGGAAAAGTACTCAATTACATGGTGAATGCAGGAAGTTGCAACAAAGAAATGCTTTATTGGCTCCTAAAGAGACAAACATGTTGGTGCTATATTTTTCTTTAACAATGACAATTCTGCTTCTAGAATCATCAGAGTAAAGCTTCCCCCACCTCAAAAAATTAAAAATATATTTTAAAGTATAATATTGTGGTCATGTAGGTACAGAAATGTGTGGGGCTTCATGTACTGGCAGCTTCAGCAAGCACTCTGTCCAGTCTCCTATAAGCTACCTTTGGCAGAAATTAAAACCTTTTAAGATGGACCCTGAGAAACTTCCTCAACACATTTAATTCAAGTATCATAAATCCATGTCACCATTTCTATTCTAGAATATGTCATCCCAATATAAGTTCTAGAATTGTGCCCTCAACATGCTGAGTACAGTTTTTAAGAATCAGTCATTTTCAATGCTTCCTTCTTGGCCACATGGATACCTTCAGGGAAACTGTAGCCTTTCTTTTGGGTGTATTGCTTTATTTTGGTTGCTCAAGACACTGTCATAACCTTTGCTTGGCCTATTCTTAGCAGAGAAAACTTAGTTTTGACTCCATAGAAAGGGGAGAACATAAAATAAATCAATTATCAAAAATTATCCTGATGCTCAATTCAGCAATTGTTTTGAAGTCTATAATAATTTCAACTAGCTGCTGAAGATGCATGGTCTATGCCTGCTCTCATGGTTAAAAGGATTCACCTAACTGGGTCCCCCAGGCTTCCTTACTCTCATCTAGTGATGGCACTCTCTTAGGGCATTTACCTGCCTTCAGGCACAAGGACTTCAAATAAGTACCCAAGACTTGGTCTAGAGCTCAAGGATGATTTATTGTCTCCATTCCAAGGGTGATTTACTACATATAATTATGTCTTTCTTTCCCTCTTCTTTTTAACTCTAAAATTCTTATTACATATCTATCAGGGATTGTATTTGGTTCAGTCAATCCAGTTCACCTTGTTGAACTATTCCAGTCATGCCAAGCCTTGTGAGAGATCTTTGGCTGTTACTTCACTGTCTGTTTCTGTTTTCTGCTTCATTTGACTGATAGAAAATGGGCATTTCTTGTTTTTCAGCCCCATGTGAACTGCCAACATGGAAAAGGTGGCCAACCATGTCATGGCTCCTGTCACTGTATAGCTAAGACCTATGAAAAGGCTACTACCCCACTCCATGCTGTGGTACAAAGAATGACTGATTTTTTTCTGTGGAACCTGGTTACCAGGAAGTCTAAGAAGATGCGTTAAGGGTCTGTTTCAACACTTCTCATCTTTACTATTTCACATGCTAAATATATTAAGTTGAACCATATAAAATTGCTCTTTTTGTAGGCAAAAAATGGTTGAATACTTAATGTCATATGGTTCAACCTAATCTTTACCAAGCAGTACTCTGTATGTTGACAGAATGAAATTAATAAAAGCAAGCCTTTCTCTACATAATGGTAATCTACAAAAGAGATTCTGACACAGATCTGAATGACTTACAGACAACTGAATAATGAATAAATATATTTCATTCCCCCTAGCAAACCCAAGGAAATTAAAAGAATACAGATAGGTTTTACAGCAAACCTCAATTTTTATTTATGAATTAGGAGACTCAGGGTAGGCTATAGTCTTTTAGTAGGCTAAGGTTTGAATTCCTTCCTCAGGGAAAATTCTACAAGGGAAGTGAAGAACACACACACACACACACACACGAGATAGATGGCAAAACATTTTTGGTGGGAAAACTAAAGGTGGTGCATTCATTTGGGTTTTGAAAAGGCCAGTATCCCCCCATTGCTAAGGAGAAAGTGTTTGAAGTGGGTTTGCTATCGTTAGCATTTTAATGATGTCATTTTGATTATGCATGTGGCCTGAGGTTTTTAAACATCTGGTGCCTTTTGTAAACCAAACTAATAAACAAACAAAGGCTTCTCATAGCAACGGCACAGGACAGAGGCATTTCCCAGCAAAGCTATTAAAAAGGCCTCAAATCACTTGGCAACATGCTATTTAAAGGCACAAGGAAACCTGTTAGAAAACTAGTTCTCTTTTACATCAGAATTCCTTATTGTCATCAGGTCCTTGGGTGCCACCTTAACCCATCTGTCTGACTGTTTTCTCTCTTCCTCAGTTCTCATTTGAGAGGGTCTTTTCCTCACACACAAAACATCTTTTTTTCCCTTAGAAGTTGTAGGCATTTTCTGCAGCACAGGCTTAGTTGCTCTTGCATGTTAGGCAGGCCATTAGGCCGGTTGGGTAATACTCACACCAGGACTTTACACAGGTAGTGCAAATACAGGACTGAAGCTCAGGATTGAGGTTCTGTATGGAAGATTTATATTTGAGAGTGATCAGCATTAAAACTTAGCTGTAAATCAAGTCATCCAAGGAAAGCATGTTCAGGGAGAGGAAATAGAGTGTCTCCCTTATTGGGAACACGGCTTCCCTTCCTCACCCCTTCCAACCCCAAATTCATTGTAATGCATTGTGAGGCCGGCAGTGCTGTGATGTTTTCTTCCTGTTCCTTGAATGCAACTACAACTGCTTTAATGGTAAGGCAGCCACAGGATTGGCAGGATCAGAAGGTCTGACTTGAGAGACCATTGTCAAGCAACTTTCAGTCTCTACTTAAATTTTTTTAAGGGTCCATCAATACATGACTGGATTAATAAAATGTGGTATACATATACCATGGATATTACTCAGCCATAAAAAAAATGGTGAACTAATACCTTTTGTAACAACCTGGGTGGAACTGGAGACCATCCTCCTAAATGAAGTATCACAAGAATGGAAAAACAAACACCACATGTACTCATTATTAAATTGGAACTAAATGATCAATACTCATGCATACATATGGTAGTAAATTTCAATGGAAGTCAAGCAGGGGGGAGGGAGGATTGGTAAATTCATACCTAATGGGTAAAATGCACACTATCTAGGTGATGGACACACTTAAAAATTTGACTCAAACTAGACAAAAGTAATTCATGGAACCAAAACATTTGTATCCCCGTAATATTCTGAAATAAATAAATAATTTTTTTGAGGGAGAGAAGGGTTTGCTGAAATTGCTATTCAAAAGGTTAATCTTTGATCTGTATCTTTAATGCTCCACAAGAGAGACAAATCTGTGGCTTTCATTTTCATAGAACGGCATTAGAGACCCTGCTAAATGCACTATCTAAAGGCAAACCTACTCCTGGTCAGTAAACAGAAAGAGACAAAAGGCTGAGTGGCAGAGATGGCGTCACATCAGTGGGGACATTGCTGACTGAGTGATGTTCCTATTCCCCTGTCAGAATGGAGATGTCCACACACCTACTCTGGGATGAAAAAAAGAAAAGATGGAGCAGGGAACTGAAGCACATGTGACTATTCACTTTTGCCCAAGAATTTCTTATTCAACCTCCCTGACAGGTTAAGAAACTATGGAGGTGAACAATTTTGTGCTAAGATTGTCTGGCTTAGTGGGGGGTCCCATTAAACAACTCCTAGCCAGTATCCCTGAGATGATACAGGGGTGCTGATGCCTAATCAGGCTAAACTTCAAAGCTGTGTACAAGCCCTAGAAAGATTCTGCCTTCAAGAGAATTCTGCTTAACAGAGATCAGAAAGAGGCTTTAAAATTAAGTCTAGGCCTTGTGGTGGCTCACACCTGTAATCCCAGAACCATGGGAGGCTGATGCAGGAGGATCACTTGAGGCCAGGAATTCAACATAATGAGACCCCATCTTTACAAAAAATGAAAACAAATTAGCTGGGTGTGATGGCATACACCTGTAATCCCAGCTACTCATGAGGCTGAGGCAGGAGGATTGCTTGAGCCCAGAAGTTGGAGGTTGCAGTAAGCTGTGATCTTGCCACTGCACTCCAGCCTAGGTGACAGAGCAAGACCCTGTATTAAAATAATAATAATAAGAAAAAAAATTAAGTCTAAAGATCAGAGTTAGTGTAAATTGTGTCTAAATACATAATTTCTTAAAGATAGTGTTTGGTACCATTTTAAGATTAAATCCTTTATGTTTTTTAAATCAAGACTTACACTTGTATTTTTAAATTAAGTAAAAAAATTCAGAATCTCATATTAAAGCATATGTCTCCTAACTTGGACCATGTGTCCATAATCAAGGCACCAACTCCCACATGCTGGCTTTGTACCTAAGGGAGGGAGGAACACAGCATCTTCAATGCAGAGCTTATAGCATGCCTCACGTGGGCTGGATTAACTGAACCTGTCCCTTGAGCCCAAGGCTCCCATGGTCTACGATACTTTTGCCTAGAATAAAAGATTCCACAATCTCTCTCAGTTTTAGTTATTTTCATATTTCAAATTTGTTTCTTATCAAACTCCTCTCTCTTTATTTTCCTTTATAGTCCTTTGTCTCATCTCATCCTATCTGGCATGCTTCTCCTCACTGCTTTAGATCTCTAGGCCAAGTGTTACTTAATCTTTCTTAGGGGACAGAAATAGTCATTCCTTATTTATCCATACCTCCTTACCTGATACTGCTATTAACTGTTACTCTTTAAAAAATAAAAGTAGACATTTAAGTATATAACAGCTATGTGGTGATAGAAGACAGTTGAGGGATTCAGGGCAGGCCACTTCAAAATATGCCGCTTTGGCATATTGATTATTTTGAGCCACAGGCACTTGCAAAACAGGAGGTGCACAAAGGGTACTCTGACCTCCTCTTTTCTTCTTGAAAGCAGGAGATAAAAATCCCATGTTAAAGATGCCCTCCCTGTATCAGGAGAAAAGAAATATTCTTATCACCAGAGACAGGTAGTCAAGTCTGAGAGAAATTTGTACAAACACACCTTGTTAAACTTACCCTTATCTTTCTACTTTTCCATAATTTGCTATTCTTTATTCTACCTAGTATGTAAGCACTTAGGCTTAGTCATTTTTGGGGGTTTTCATTTTCCTTGTGAGAGCTCCCCATTACATGCAAATAAAATTTATATGCTTTTTTCCTGTTAATCAGTCCCTGCTAGAGCACCTAGGAGGAGGCAGGAGAATTTTTTACTCCGCTACACATTTCTTCTCTTTTTTTCTTTTGTATGCAGATTTAGTTGGAAAGTAGAAAAGTGTAGAATGAAATAATTCAACAATGAGTAGCCAGGTTTTCCTTCATACCCACAAAGAAAAGGAGTATAAAAGGATACTGTAGGTTATGCTGAAACTGTAATTACCAGCAGGCAAGCCTTCTGTAAAATGGCGTGTTCGATTGAGATGTTGGTATGGTTTTTTGAAAGTGGGAATGGCGGCTGTCCAAATCCACGCAATGAAGTCATCATTGAGGAAGCATTGTTTCTTGGATCCCTTTTTATCCAATTCATAGGCTTATGCCAGTTTGGGGGCTTTGTGGTTCCTGGGGTAATAAAATAAGAGATATGATGGAGAAAAATCATATATACTCTTCAGTTTTCTTTAGAATTTAGAGAATTAAAGAACTGCATTTTTGAGGAAATAGAAATTAGATTTTTTATAAAAGTGTGTGTGTGTGTGTAAGTTACCTGAGTATGCAACCATTAAAAATATACTTTTAAAGATTCTGAGAAAATTTCATATTTTCACTATGAAAATCTCATATTTTCATAGTGTTAAAAAAGGGCTGAATATGATATGCTATGTATACTGTGTCTTCAACTTTATTCAATGCACAAAAAGCATTGAAAGAATAGGTAGAACAAAATGATTATGGTGGTTTTATTCACTGATAATAGCATGGGAAATAAGCTTTTTTTTCTTTAGTTTCACTAGTAATCTAAGGGGAGCAAATTATAACAAGAGACCATTTTCATATAAACATTGGTTAATATTTAAAGGAAAAAAGAATGACAACCACTGATGAGACAGCAGAAATGGGAACTCTTGTACAGAGCAGATATATAGATTAACATCATCTCTGGCAATTTAGGAACATGCATTGAAAGCTTTAATATTTTGTATACATTTTGGTCCAGAAATTCGACTTCTAAAAATGTATTCTAGGAAATGATCATGGAAGTGCTTAAGATTGGTTTACATAGATGGCCACCACAGCACTGCCCCTACAGCTGGAAGCAAGGAGGAGGAATTGTAAGTGGAAGGAGGTGGACAGCAAAGGAATTGCCGGCCTGTTCTAAAGCCTTGGTAGGTTTGGGAGCTGTAGGAATGCTGGAAGCTCCCACTTTACAATGGAGGCCATGTCTGTCTCTCCCACTCTACAGGATACTCTTCAGAACAGTGCTGTCCTCATCTGTGTTTTCACTGGCATTAGTCCAGTACCTGGTCCATGGTAGCTGTTCAATAACTGCTTGATGAAGGGGTGAAATACTCTAATTAAATCTGGCAGACAGAGTTGATAATAAAAACCATGCTGAACTATAAAGAGCTGGTCAAAAGAGTAAATTATTTAATGAACTTTTTACATCAAGATGCCAAAATGCTAAATACGGAGCCACTTTTTTTCAACAAAGACTACTGACTAAACAACTTTCTCATAAAAGAAACTCAGACCTGTTTTCTAAACATGGGAAATGGTGCTTATAAAACCATACGCTAAGTTTTGTTGGATTAATCTGCTGAAGTATGTTTGTACACTTGTACTTCCTTTGGAAATAATCCTTTGCTGGAGAATCTTCCTCTGCAAATGTTGTGGAGCCTGTCCATTTTGGCCCTTCCCGAGACTTCAGTCACTATTACTAGAAGAATTTGGATCAAAATTGAAATTGCCTTCAGTGCCTACACTGTGGAATTCACCTTCTCTCTACTTTGGCCTGAGCTCATGGTCCAAGTTAGTGGTCCTATTGGCCACTGACATCAGAATCACCCAGGGACTTGTTAAAAGGGGAGGTTCAAGCATGCCCTTCCCTATCAACTCTTAACCCCACCCTATCCATATCTCCAGAGGATATGAGATGCATCGTCTAAGAAACATGCTAAGACACTTCCTTTATTTTCCAAGCTCAGTTGATTCATTTGTATTCATCCATTCCTTCAACAATAAGCATTTTCTTGATTGTCACTAGCAACAGGGATACAAAACTACATAAGACCCAAACTCTTTCCTTAAGAAATCATAGACCGAAGTGGCACAAAACAGGTATGCAAACAGATAATTGGAATGTAGTGTGGTGACCTTTAATATAGAGGTAGGAAGAAAGTATAGCAGGAGATGGGGGAAAGCCAAGGCCCCTTTGTGTCATAGACTTGTGGTTATATGGTAAGACAAAACAAAAGAATGTTGCCATGTTCCTTTCAAAAATCAGCAATTCAATTATAGATATAATGACCATACATACCAGTTTGCCTAAACAGTCCCAGTTTATGTTGTTTGTTATCCCATCTGATTTAGCATTTATCCCAAATAATGTACATGTAATTTAATCCTTCCAGCGTCCAGCCATGATCTTAGCTAGTAGTGTGTGAGCTACCCACATGCAGTGAATGGAGTGCTTACTTCTATGTGTGATTATATGTGAAAGACAACCAGAGACCCTTTTAATCAAAACATAATAAAATATATCCCTGTGACCCCTGCCAGCTACTTAACATTCCAGCCAGTCAGGCCATAGTTTCTTTCTTGGCCAGTGAGATGTATGAAGCTGCCAGGCTGCAAATCAGTGAGATCAGTGAGAAGTGTGAGAAATTACAGGTTAGGTTATACATATTTGGTGTATGTGTGGGAAAGAGATGCTGAACAGCCCTGCTAACTATTGTTTGGTATCAGTCTTTTAATTTGCTAATAAATCATTTAAGCAGTGAAGAGCTAAAAAATGGAATGTGCATGTTTAATGTAAAATTAAGAGGTTGGACAGCTGTGGCTCATGCCTGTAAAACTAGCACTCTGGGAGGCCGAGGTGGGAGCATTGCTTGAGCTCAGGAGTTTGGGACCAGCCTGAACAAGAGTGAGACCCCATCTTTACTAAAAATAGAAAAAATTAGCCAGTGTGGTGGCACATGCCTGTAGTCCCAGCTACTAGGGAGGCTGAGGCAGGAGGATCGCTTAAGCCTAGGAATTTGAGGTTGCTGTGAGCTAGGCTGATGTCACAGCACTCACCCAGGCAACAGAGTGAGACTGTCTCTCAAAAATAAATAAACAAATAAATACTAATGTAAAATTAAGTAGTTTCTCAAGAAAGATGATGAATGTGATACTTGCATTGTTGGTTGACATTTGCCCTCCACCCTGGGAACCATAATGATATCATATGACCATGTGAAAATAAAAAAATATAAATTTGCTGAAGAATATCAGAATCTACTTCAAAAGTTTATGGTGATTTTTAAAAGAATGTATCCAAAGACAGTGTGTTAAGTCATGTAGCTACATGAGTAGGTCCATTTATGTAACATTCTATGAGCTTGACTTTTCATTAAGATCAAATGGATTTCCTTCTAGTTTCACTTTTTTTATTGCAGTCTTTTTTTTGTAACCAAAGAAAAGCTTTTAATGTGTTGGCTCCATTAGCACAAAAAGATCTTTGTAGATAGTTAAATGAGGCCAGTTTTACATGAATGTCTTGAGATGTTTCTAATAGAAAAATCAGGTAGGTTAACTATAATAATGGTTTTTATGGGGTTGATTCTTCATAGAATCAAAGCAAGCTTTTAGAAGTTCAATCTTTGAATTTGAAATCTCTGACAATATTATAAATGTTACTATAAATTTAGTTATAAAATTCAACAATCAAGTTTAAATTGGTTTTGAGGTGATAACATAACTGCAAATTTGGTGGTGTGCATGAGAGTAAAGATAATGATCTCAGTAAATTGAAAAATTGATAGAGAAAGAAATGTACTTAAAATTGGTTGTGGTACACCCATAATTCACAATTGTATCCAAACAAGCTACAAGAATTTATTAATCCAAAGAAGAGCCATACTTGTACAAATTTTAACATTCTTGTATTGTCACAGAGAAATTGAATTTTCAACTGCAAAATTTTATAATGACACAGGGGTTAAACAAATATTTCAACATGGTAGTATCTTGCTATACATTTATCAACCAGAATTTCAGAAAGGTTTGAGCCTTTAAAGAACTTTTTTATATATCAAACAATGTGGCCTACAATGATCCTGAACTTTTTTTTTCTCTTCTTTTTGAGACAGGTCTCACTCTGTTGCCTGGACTAGAGTGTAGTGACATCATCGTAGCTCACTGCAACCTCAAACTTCTGTGCTCAAGGGATCCTCCTACCTCAGCCTCCTGAGTAGCTGGGACTATAGGCACATGCCACTATGACTGGCTAATTTTTCTATTTTTTGTAGAGACAGGTCTTGCTCTTGCTCAGGCTGGTCTTGAACTCCTGGCCTCAAGCAATCCTCCTGCCTTTGCCTCCCAAAGTATTAGGATTACAGGCATGAGCCACTGAGCCTAGCTATGAGCCTGAACTTTTTCTATAAATGAACTTTCTGAGATTGGTTGCATTTTGTTCAAAATAGTTGAAAATCTTTAAACAAATAATTTGAAATATGGAATGCCTACAAACTTTAGTTTTTGAAGATTTAGTGAATGTTAATTATTAAAAACCAAGCTTATGCAAACTAGTTCAACCTCTGTGGAAAGCAATATGGAGATACCTTAAAGCGATACAAGTGAATCTACCATTTGGATTCCAGCAATCCATTGCTGGGCATCTACCCAAATGATCCAGTGACACTCTACAAAAAAAGACACCTGCACTCGAATGTTTATAGCAGCACAATTCATAATTGCAGGCTGGGAAACAGCCCAAGTGCCATCAATCCAAGATGGATTAATAAAATGTGGTATATGTATACCATGGAGTACTATTCAGCTCTAAGAAACAATGGTGATATAGCACATCTTATATTTTCCTGGTTAGAGCTGGAACCCATACTACTAAGTGAAGTATCCCAAGAATGGAAAAACAAGCACCAGATATATTCTCCAGCAAACTGGCATTAACTGAGTAGCACCTAAGTGGACACATAGGTGCTACAGTAATAGGGTATTGGGGCAGGTGGGAGGGGAGGGGGCGGATTACATACATAATGAGTGAGATGTGCCACCATCTGGGGGATGTCATGATGGAGACTCAGACTTTTGGGGGAGGGGGAAATGGGCATTATTGACACCTTAAAATCTGTACCCCCATAATATGCCAAAATAAAAAACAAAAAAACAAAAACCAAGCTTATAAACAAGAAGACAAATGAAATTTATTACTGTAAGAACAAGGGAATAATTGAACATACTACATTTAATGGGAGTTCAAAATGTGTACTAGATTTAATTTTTAAATTCTGGAATTATATTTTGGAGTATCTTGACTTATGTGAAGATTCTTTTGATAGTTCTCCTATTTTTTTTTTTTTTTTTTGAGACAGGGTCTTATTCTATTGCCCAAGCTAGAGTGCAGTGGCCAAATCATAGCTCAGTGCAACCTCAAACTCCTGGGCTCAAGTGATCCTCTTACCTGGCCTTCCAAACTGCTAGGATTACAGGCATGAGCCACCACAGCTGGCTAGTGCTTCTATTTTTAATTGGATAAAATTTTCTGTATCATAATGAAATAATAATCGAGGTTTAGGACTTTGTACCATCTAAAGTTAGTGGTACCATTCAGAAGAACCAAAAATAGAAAAAAAACTCATGTGAAGTCAAAAAGACAGTGACTATGAAAATGTTTGGGTTAAAATACTAGCATATTTCATGACAAAAAAATTGAAATTAAGAATATAACACCATTTAGTAAATTGGGTTGTGAGTGTTATAGTATCTCAGCACCTACAGAATATTTTCTTAGTCAAAAGACATTAGGGTCAAAAGAAAAAAAATCATGTAAATGTGTCAACAATTTCAAATTGATTAACCATAACCACAATCTTTAAGATTGTGGACAATTTTGTGAAAAAATTAAAAATAAGTCCACAGTAAAAAGAATAAATTCATTAGAAAAATACAGAGGTTTGTAATCAAGACAGATATGGCCAAGAAACTAATTAAAGTATATCATTATATACCCAGAATAATTATTATGCTTACATTATTTTTTAGTGTTTAGATAAGTAAAGAAGTTTTTTTAAAAAGTTGGTTTCAGTCACAGTGGCTCATATCCATGAACCAGACCAGCCTGGGCAACATAACAAGACCTTCATCTCTATGAAAAAAAAGTGAATTTATTGCACATACATATACTATCTTAATTTTTGAAAGAACTGCATTTTTGAAAATAGTTTTTAACAGACTCATTTTATAGGTCCACCAATATGATGTCAATTTATTGATCAATAAGTAAAATTTTCAAATAAATATAGAATCACTAGTGCACTCTTTCACTTTCACAAGTGTACCAGTTTGGATGACAAATTACATGGTCATCCTAATTCTAGAGGAAGCAACAAGTTTCTTAAAACATTGTCTTTTTCCTAATGGTAAACCAGAAGGAACCAGGGCACCAATCATTTCATGTTTTTGACAGGTATACAATGGAGATGCTCATAGTTGGGAAATTAGAGCAAAAAGGAGTCAACAAAGAGATAAGGAAGGAACACTCATAAATATCTCCCCACACATAAAAAACAAAGTTTTTGTGAAGAGATAGGAATATTGAGCTACTGTGTGGATCTTACCTTCAAATGCATTAGCAAGATTATTGGTGTTTGAGCTAGATATAGAAATACCATTTGACCCAGCAATGGCATTGTTGGGCATCTACCCAAAAGAGCATAAGACATTCTATTATAAAGACATCTGCACCCGAATGTTTATGGCAGCACAATTCACTATTGAAAGATCATGGAAACAACCCAGGTGTCCGTCAATTCATGAATAGATAATTAAAATTTGGTATATGCTCACAATGGAATACTACTCAATTCTAAGAAATGACAGTGAGCTAGCACTGTTTATGCTATCCTGCATTAAGCTTAAGCCCGTTATCCAAAGTGAGGCGACAAAAGATCAAGAAAATGGGCTCCACATCTACTTGCCATCAAATTGGTACTGACTGATTAAAACTATGGTGCTCAAATGGTGGTAGTGTTCACCAGGGTTTGGGGGAGGGGGAAATACACATCTTAGGGTTGTGACGAGCATTGGGGGAGGGGAGGGAATTGTGGGGGGGAGGAAGGGAATACCTCTAACCCTTTGTAGGGAAAGGCAGAGATATACAATGTAACCAAAAGGTCAAAAAAGGAGAAAAACAACTTTTATCGGGTGGTGGGCAGATGGGAGAGGGGAGGAAGGGAAGGATATATACTTACAAAATAGGTGTGATGCACACCACCTGGGGGTTGGACACGCTTTATGTTTTGGCAAGGTGGGGGGCGGGAGGGAGAAATGGCAAGGGCAGTATATGTAACCCTAACAATATTTGTACCCCCATAATATGATAAAATAAAAGGAAAAAAAAAGATTATCAGTGTTTGGATTCTGAAATTTGACATACTCATCTGTCCACCATGTAAGTCCAGTCTTTAGCATTGGGACTTTGATTTGTAGTGATGAATTAACATTGTATGAAAGAATTATGGTGTCTGAAAAGAAATTAAAAATTGTGTTAAAAATGCAAGTTAGCAATTTTGCCACCTTTTGATATACAGAGCCAGACACAGCTGGAAAATAAATCAGGGTTTTTGCAGACTATCAACACGCCTACATGCCATAGATGCTGGAATCACAAGACCATTCTTTTTTGTGCCAAGGCTTGAGCCAATTATTGAAAAATACTCTTAAGCTCCATTTAACGCATGTTCCCTGACTATTCCTCAGATTTTTGGCAAGGAAGAACTTATTTGCAAATGAAATTCCATAAGTCTGTGCTCTGGTTTAGCCAGGATAATATTTACAGAACTTTAAAACAAAAAACAAACAAAAAAAAAACTACCACTCAACTGCAGAGGCTATCTTCTGGACATTTAGGTTGTTACACAGTTACGAAAGGGTACATCAGTGAGATAGGAAAAGTCACCCACCATTGAATATGCTGTTGTCGATAGCACCACAAGGAACAATGGGGGTCTCATTGTGTGACATTTTGAATGGAGCACAGCCCTCAACAGCCTGGATGCAAGATGATACAGCAATGATTAGTGCTTTTGGTGACCTCTCTTAGAATGTTAAAAGTGAGAACACTGGCAACATAAATCAATCCACACTGATTTATTGATATGGACCAAAATTACAGACTGCTACCTGTTTTTCCCAGGCTTCTGACTCACTTTGACTAGGAAATTTTTGTATTTTGGAGATAACGTATGTATGTGTATATGTGTCTGTGTGTGTTTTTTCCTCATTAACAATACATAGCATACCAAAAATGCCTACATTTTTTGCAGACAAGAAACTTTACCTTGCTGGCTATGGTATATATCACACTAAGCCTACATTGGAATACATTTTGGGGGGAGGTGGGGGCAGGGACAGGGTCTTGCTCTGTTGCCTGGGCTAGAGTGCAGTGGCATCAACATAGCTCTCTGCAACCTCAAACTCCTGGCCTCCTCCTGCCTCAGCCTCCTAAAGTGCTAGGATTACAGGCGTAAGCCACTGTGCCTGGCCTGGAATACATCTGTAAACCCTCCTTTCATTGAAGTATAACCTATATTCAGAAAAGCACATAAATCTTGAGTCTACAGCTTGATGACTTATGGGGAATTCATTCATGCAACTACCAGAATACATTTTTAAAAGAGTGGTTGCTACTCGAGGGAGGGGGGGGGCATGGGCAATATATATAACCTTAACACTTGTACCCCCATAATACGCTAAAATAAATAAATAAATAAATAAATGAGTGGTTGTTAAAAATCATTTGGTTATCACTTTCATATAATAATGTCAGTAAGTAAAGGTTTCCTTCTAGCTTTTCTTGATAGCAGGTTGAATATCATCTACCAAGAGTAAAAATTTGTAATCTTATTTCTGAAAAGATAATCAAATGTTTTTATTCAATCAAATAGAGCCCAATTTCCTTCAAGTAGGCTGGACCAAAGTCCCAAATATAGGAAGGACAATGGTAAATACAGAGTGAGCAAGACTGAGACCAGCCACTTAAGGTAACTATGAAAGGATAACCATTTAGTTGGACAAAATTCACATTACTCTTCTACAGAGGGAAAGTGCTTCTTCTTGGGTAACAGTTATCCTAGATATTCCTTCAATTTATGCAAGAATGAAATAAGCATTTCTGTTTTGTAAAACCTTAGCTTTTGAACTTATTAAAACTCAGAATCATTGCATGATCCATCCCCTCTTTTAAACTAGAAGATCCACCTGGTTTAAAAAAAAGAAAAAGTATTATACCAAATTAAATAAGGCCTTACTTTCACATCTTTGCCCACCAGTTGCCTATTACTTCTGGAATAAATATATCGATAGAGGTTCTGACAGAAGCCATGCAATTTGTAATACATATAAACATTACCCTGTATGGGAGAAAGCAAGAAATAAGAGGAGAGTAAGGAAAATTAGTTGGAATATTTAAAAATATGGATAGGAATTTTTAAAATAATAAGTAGTATAGAAAAAATTAATGGGAACTGAAAGTTTCTTTAGGGAGAATATTAATAGAAACACCAAAAAAATCATAAAAATCAGTGTTGGGAAATCTTTATAGAATTATTGAAATAACTCAATCTATTTTTAATGTTTTCATAAGGGCTACTGTGTTCTTGCCTTAACATTTTTTCATAACCAGCCTTTGTATTTCCAGTACATAAAATATGGTTTTTTAATACTGTCATTTCCCAGAAATAAAAGAAAAATGCATTGCCTAGGGGTTGTGGTAGGCACCAAAATTCACGTGATTTCAAAGCAAATCCGTGAAGCATAGTTTGAAATTGGAGCATTGAGCATATTTAGGTGCATGTGCATACTGGGCATATAAAAGGCATTAGACCAGAAGCTCCTTGTAGTCAAGCTCCAAGTGTTTTTGTCTTTTTATCTCTAGGATCTGACACAGTACCTGGCACATAACACTTGCTCAAGAAATGGTGAACCATTTATTACAGGCAAAAAAGATGGAATAATTCACTGACCCAAAAGAAAGAAGGTGATTTTCACCCTAGCAATAAATAGCCTTGTTGTCATGAGAGAGATGCCTTTCACATATGTTGCCATGTGAGGCTGCCCAGTTCAAAGCTACCATCGTGGTTGTACCTTTTTGGTGACACACCAAAGCCCTGGAAATTCTCTAGGCAGACTTGATACAGATTTTACTAACAGCATATATGGAAATATCCACATGGATTTAACCAACCATATGCATAGATTTTACTAACAGCACCTAGAGGATCTTAAAGAGTAGGAGTATAGAAAAACAGGAGCTGGTACTCTCAATAAGCTGGGAAGAAAAGTCATGGCAAATGTGGCCAGTTACAGCAAACAAGAAAGGCTGAAGAGCTTTTTCACTTGTAGAAGAGTAATCTCTGGAACACGGACAAAGGGAGATGCGGGGCCGTGACAAAGAGGCAGGCTGCAGCATAAACCAGAGAGCATTGGTGTGAAGGCAAACAAGCCATTTCCTCACCCAAAGAGGGAACCTCTATTGATGACCCTCAACTGTAGAAAATATGAAGTCCACAGAATGGAATTTGCCATACCATTTCTTGGAAGCTAAAAAGAGAATTCTATTTAGCCAGAGTTATATGTTCACATAAATGACAACATAAACAGGCAGAACACTTGCCACACTAGGGACCAGGGTGTTTTAATAACCTCTTTTAAATGATCCTTTGTCCAAGATTTAGCTTAACAAGGCCTCCAAGATCATCATCTTTTTGATTACTCCTGGAGGCACGATTCACTTTATGGCTTTTCCTCCTTTAAATTCAGTGGCACTTTGTGCAGGTTCCTTTAAGATAGTCTCGTGTGGATTCATCGCCTAGGTTCCAGCGCGTGTAATGTGTGGTAACTGGTGAGCTGAAGGCCCTGGGATCGCCCTAAGTAGTTTGGTTGGGTTTTTATGAGAAGCCTCTGCCTGAAAGGAATGGTTAGCAGCTGGTAACACTTCATTTGCTGTCAGGGTTTTGAAGGACACAGACAGATGGGAATTGAAGCCCTTTAAGGTTTGATTGTTTAGACTTTTTTCTTCAAGAATTTAAGCATTCTGAGCCCTCACTTGAGAAAGGAGGAGGGAAGGAGGAAGGAAAGAAGAAAGGAAGTTAGGACAGGAGCGTAGAAAAGAGGGGGAAGGGAGAGAAGGAGGAAGGAAGGTCTTAGAGTGTAATGCATTTTTAAAGTGTCAGCAAGGCAGATGGGACGTCTCTAAAGACGCCCCTCAGCGGAATCCCCCCTCCCAGGAAGGAGCCTACCTCAGTGTCCTTGTTGTGCCCAGCCACTGGCTGGGATGGCCATGGGAAGCATGGCCTTGGTGTAAACCCATGGTGATTCCACAGTGCAGCAGGTGGGACCATCGCTCAATAATACTCCCTGCAGTAGATCCAAGAGGAGCCTTTTCATAGCCTCCGTAGTCTTACCTGGTAGTCAAGACTTAATCAATGAAAAATGTATTTCCTTTATCTCCTCAAATGTACTTCAAGGTCCTGTTCTGTCCTCTGGACTCTGCACCTCTCCCCCCTCAGCATCTTCCACACTGGCCCAGTACCCCACCTTCCCCTTCTTAAATGACTCTGCACGGGTGAATCTAGGCAAGGCAGGCTTTCTCTTGGGCTGCCCTCTGAGCATCCTACCTCGAGGCCCTGCTTCCACCTCAGACTCAGCCGGTCCCAACCAGACTCATCATCTCCTGAAAAATACTCCTTACTTCTTCCCTCCTGCCTTCTCCCCCACCTTCCTTCCCTCTGCCCTCTCCTTCCCAAGGGTCAGAGCTGTTTTGTGGTCTGACAGCTCTCCCAGCCGCCTCCTGCTCCCTCTCCATTTTCCCTCACAGGTTTCCCCCAACAAATCTCATGGATGTCTAACCCTGTCTTGGCGTCTGCTTCTCAGAGGACTGGACTAACTCAGACGTGTGTGTGTGTGTGTGGGGGGAGGCATTTATTGAAACCTTAAAATCTGTACCCCCATAATATGCCAAAATAAAAAAAATAAAAAAAATAAGGAGTAGGGACTTATCTTAATCATTCTTTGGCATTTCTCACAGTGTCTGGTGGCCAGGCTGAGTCTCCTTAGGGATTAGGCAATTGCGTATATAGAATGACTTGCAGGGAATCCAAGGAGGGTCCCACCAGGTGTGTGACCCCTGACACTAACTCACTGTGTGACCGTGGCCAAATCACTTAACCTCTCAGCCCATTAATTTTCTCACTACAAAATAAGTGGTTAAGTTCAATGATCTCTACAGTCCCTTCCTGTGTTGACATTTGCAGTAAAACCAGCTTGACTGATAAGATTTATATTACAAGTTGGATATATAAAGAATCTTGCAGCTTTGAAACAAAGAAGCAGGAGAATAATAATACCCCCAAAAGGGAAAGAGGGGGACATGAACTCAACAATTTGTAGGATTCACCACCCTCACCTCGCTTTATTTTTCATATTTTCAGTTTGGGGAAGCATTTGATGGAACTTGTGAACTTACTGCCTAGTGTTACATAGAAGTAGATCAGCATAAAGTCAATTGAAGTCTCCTGAATTTCACTTACCTTCATTTTCTTTGTAAGGGAAAAGGGATTGGAACAGGTGCATTCTTTGTCAAAATTAAAGACATTTTCCTGTACTTTTGCACAATTTGCACATATTTTTGTGTAATTAATCTGTCAGGCAGGGAAAAAATAATTATTAATTAAAAAGTTATGTTGTATGAATACATGTTTTAAAATTCAAGTCTGGAGTCTACCAAAGTCTTCAGCCTGTCTGGGGTCTGGGTCAGTGCGTGGCGGTTTCTGGGATATGAAGAGGGCAGCCCACTGTGGAGGGGAGGTGTTTCTGGGTGGGCAGGAAGAGTGGGCCTTCCTGCAGTCTTTTATGTGGGTGCCTGGCAGCATTTTGCCCTAGGCCTGGAGTTCAGCGTTTCTCCTGCATACTTACATAACCTGGTGTGATGAAGCTTTGCCCCTCAATCACAAAGAGGTGTCACCAGGAAGGTATTAGGGAATGACTCAGCACAAGTGGGCTTACAGCCTGAGTCTAATCAATTTTATAGGGAAGGCACTTCACTGCTTTTCCATTCTATCGTATGGAAAATATTTATACTAATGAATTATTCTACATGGCGCCCAGAGGAAGTTATTAAAAAATCACCAAACACAGAAGTGTTTCCAAAATGTATTATTGACGTATGTGGAATAATTCTGGTTTTAAAATGTCATTGCACTGTTTTTTAAAAGTTCAATTCTGTGAAAATGATATAATTGACTCTTGTAAAAGAGGATAGTTTGTCCCAATTGGGCGCCTCCCGTGAGCTCTGGCTGAGGCACTCCAGTTCTGTGGAGAGGCCACCAGAGGAGTAAGGAGGGGTCCTGGGAGCAGGCTCAGGGCAGGGCAGCTCCCCTATCTGCAAGAATGCTTGTCAGGGGCCTGGGCTGTCGTGGGCCATTGCTTCTTGCCCTCCCTGCGTTGATGAGTAATTAGAAGATTATGGGAGTACTGAGCAGGGAAGCAAGGGAGCAGCACTTTCCTTGGTAAGATGCCAATAAGATGTAGGATTCTTTGGGAGAGAGGACTAATAAGAAAGACAGAAGGAATTTCAGATCCTTGCAAAACCATGGAAGGTTCTGAAGCCCAAAGGTAAAGTGGCAACACTAAATTAAAGATTAGTGAAAAGGCTACACTCTATGGTACTTAGATGCTTATATTTAGTTAAATAATTCTTTAAATACACAGCAAAGCATGAAGCATTATTTTGAAAATATTTATGCCTTTTCTGTTTGTAGACTGTATTGCAATGTATAAAAAGGATTAAAGAACAGGGCTGTGCCCTAACAGAGAGAACTCGCTGGCCTGCGAGGAAACTGGGGCTCTAGTTCAGCCAGTCTCCAACCTTGAGTTAAATACTGAACCTCCAGAGCCACATTTTGTTCATCAGCATCATTTCAGAGGAATTTATTGATCTGTGAGGTCATTGTAGTTGTTGTATACACTCTACATCATGAATTCTTGTTGTGAGTTCTGTCGACGTAGAATTAGAAAAAATGTTTCATGATCACATAATTTTTGAGTAGATGATTTCTATGTTGCTTTCTAGCTCTAAAAATTTTGATGAGGAAAACATATCCCTGATCTGCCATCTGCTTAATAACATTATCCTCAATTTGCTGCTCAAGTGGACTTATAAATCTATAGCTATAAAATGGAGCAAAGATCACATTCTGTGCCTCACAGATTTTTGGAGAGGCAGGAATTACCATTCATGTTTAAAGTGAACTGCAGTGAGGGCGCTTCCTTATGCCCCAGGGCTGAGTGAGAAGAGAAAAGAACAACTCAGAACTCTTTTCTAGTAGGTCTGTGCTTGATCACACTGGCCTGGAGTGTGCAGTTTATCTTATTACCCAATATAATGAAACACTTCCATGTGCAAAGGAAATTATTCTCTCTGGGCGGTTTCTGGTTGTCTCATATAAAAATAAAGAATTAGAAGCAATCCTAGCTGAAGCAACTAAAAAAAAAGTTAGTTGGAAAATACCCATAGATTCCATGAGATAAAAGCATTCAGGTGATGCTCCTTTGCAGAGTGGCCTTAGCCAATACCCGGGGATGGAGTGAGGTCACCCTCTCAGGCATGAGGTAACCTCATGCCACAATGGCTACCTCTCAATGAAGGCTGTACTGCTCAATGGGTGAGACAGATAACTGGAAGGGAGGAATCAAGGATGACATGGGAGGGGACGAAGAACCAGAAAGAAAGAGGTTGGTGAAGCAGAAAATAGAAAGTATATTGGATGAGCTGTTTGTGGAAATGACCTCAACCCTGTAAGCCCATTACTTTGTTCTCCCCTTCAGCAAGGCAAGTTCCATTTCCTCCTCCTGCCACATGGTGAGGCCTGGTGGGGGTTTACATATCACACTGGAGGACTCAAGGGATTTTGGGGCTCTTCCTGGGGAGATTAGGTGCTGGGAGCTTGGAGCAGAATATATAAATGGAGAGGCAATAGAGCAGTGTGCCTTGGGAGGAAGAGTAGTGCCTAAACTGACATTTCTCTCTTTGAAATCTGCACTATCTGTCCTAATTCATTCTGTCAGTAAGTGTTTGCCTATCATGTACTGGGCAATGTGCAAGGAAGGGTTCGGGGATGGTGAGCAGCCAGCCCTGGCCAAGCTCTCTGCTCTTACAACATAGTATTTTACCTACTCTATCATTAGTTTGTTAAGGGCAGGAATCAAATCTTACTCATCTCACTTATGTGCGTGCCCAACAGAATCCTTAGGCACCTTCAGATACTCATAAATGTTAAATCAATGTTGACAGACTTGGCCTTCATCATAATTTTGCCAGTAGCCTTGTGGGGAGAGGGACTAGATCAGCTTTCTGTGGTTACTTTCAGAGTGGAGGACATGTGGTCTTGGGGTATCTAGAGATCTGCTCAGAGCTGAGCTGGATGAAACATGTACTTAATTCATTAGATTGAGTATGGCCATGGCTCATCCAGCCTTAGACCAGCTCTTATCTCCCCTCTCCAGATCAGCTTCTGGGATTCTCATCCTCCAACAGCTTGTTAATCAAGTTGGCAAAGGGCTTATGTCTGAGCGGTTGCCCTTAGCATCAGCTTTTCTCACTCTGAGTAGAACTTGGTTTATTTTGCTAAGCATCCTTAAGATGCCAGAAAGACTTGGCCTTTTGCCTTTCCTGGATCTCAGAAGGAGTTTATTGCAATGGGAAAGACACAATGCTCGAAAGTGGGGTAAAACTGAAGACCTGTGTCTTTGGCTCTACACTGTTCTTATCAATATTATTCATGGCTTGTGGTAGTCATTTGCTTCTCTGTCTCCTGCCTCTATCGATTGTTTGCTCACTCCTCTGCCAGCCTAACAAGTTTCTAACTTTGCCAGGCCCCTGTACACAAATATGGCTGAGCTGATCAGTGTGAGAGTGACTGTGCTTAAGAGGGAGTAGGAATGAATAAAGCCAGCACACATGGGCTCTGTCACCATCTGCCCTTGCCAGCTGAAAGAGAGATGTTCCAGTCATGTCTAGTTCCTTTTTGAGGGGCTGTTTTCTCAAACTGACCACTCTTACTTATAGTGCCAAAGCCGAAGTCTTAGAAGCTGCATAAAAATGTAAGATGGAACAAACCTCCATTTCCCGGGTGCTCTTTGCAGACAGTAGAAGGATGATGCCCATGCAGAGGCAGAATACTCCTGTGGCAAAAAAGATAAAGAGGACTTCCTTGGCCGAGAAGTGTAGCCAGTCAGCGAGCAATTCCTGCTGCCTCAGGGCAGTGTTGTCTGGCAATCTGGACAGGTGATGTTCCATTTTGGTTCTGCAGGTGACTCAGATATACTTTGGGGGACATTTAAAACATTCCTACTCATGGTAATACCACTTAATGGTAATGTTAAATGAAGAATTACATGAATGCTCCTTTGAAGTTGAAAAATCTTTTCTGCTTCCTGAAAATTATTCCTTAAGCAGACCTGATATTCAGCAGGAGCTCAGCTCTCTTGAATCAGTCATTGCTAGGTATATTTTATTTATGCTCAAAAAGCCTGTTGTACTCAATGCCATGCCTAGGAGGAATAGTCTCCAGCAAGGTCTGCAAAAAACAACATCTGGTGACACTAGGAAGTCATGATGGGCTATTTCTGGGATCTGGTGACTAATTCAAGGCAAGCCCTTCCTGAAGAGGGGAAAATAGATTTATCTTTAGGAACTTGCCTAAATCCTTTGAGATTAATACAAAAAATAAAAGTTAGGGCTGTCAGCTTTTTTTCAAATGTGGCTGTTGCCTAAAATGAATATAAACTAAGTTGAGAGATGCTCTCAGCTTACAGCTAACTTTGCTATGTGTGATAATGAGGAAGGGAGAAGCAAACAGGGAATTGCAGAACACAGATGTCCAATCTCAGCAGCTTCCAATTTTTTTTTCACCCATAAGATTCTAGTAGAAAATGTGGATTAAAAACATCTCCTCCTAACCTCTCCCAACTGCATGCTTTGGAGTAACACAAATGAGGCAAGAAAAAGGAAGAGGAAGATAATCAATTAGATGTTCAACACTGCAATATAGTATTAGGTCTGGTTTTGAGTGCTTTCACTTGTTAGAAATCCACTAACATTTTCTTTATGCTGTTAATACTTCATAATTACGTATTTAAAAGCTGACATTTAGGATGTGGAATTAGGATTTTTAAAAGAAGGCAGTGTGTGAGATTTCTAATCATCCCTTTTCATTTATTAACTTTAAGGCATGCTGGACTATTTTTGTATCAAAGGTGGCAATGACTGGCAAATATACCTAGTTTAGAAGAATACAAAACAAAAGCAAATACTTCTACTACCGTGTTCTAAATTCAGAGTCAACGCTTCCCACTTGCAAAATTAGAAAACAAGTAAAATATCAGTGGGAAATTTTCAGCATGCTGTTGGGAGGTGGTGACTAGTATGGCTGCTGCTATCAGACAGCCTTAAGAAGATGGCAGCAAACACTTTCTGTTATCATCTACTGTTTGTTTTACTAAATAAACATGGTTGAGAGCTTAGACTTAAAAGTCAGTAATAGGCTATGAGATGAGATTTATATGTACAGGGTTGGCCTACAAAATATCAGGTATGTTTATGATTGAGGTATTTGTTCCAACATTGGGTAGGATCATACTATGTAGATAATGCCTAGAAAAAGGGTCATTATAGTAACAAACCAGTAAGAACAGTATTTCTTAGGCTTTTTATAGAACAAAACCAAACGAATCAAAATCCCAACCTAAAAGGGATTCAAAGTAGGGGTCTTCAGAGAAACAACCAATAGGAGATTATGTGATTATATAGATGTATGTGTATATGTATACATATATGTGTATACACACATACACATATATAAAAAAAAATAAGGAATTGGCTCCATAAATATGGAGACTGACAAGTCCAAAATCTGCTGAGCTGATGTCCCAGTTCAAGTCTGAAGGCCAACAGGCTAACACAGAACCAGGAAGAGCTGATGTTTCTGTTAGAAGGCAGAATTCTGTAGGGTAGGGTTGGAGGGGGAGGGTCATCCTTTTGTTCTATTCAGCCTTCATCTGATAGAGTGAGGCCCACTCACATTGTGGAGGGCACCAATTTAAATGTTAATCTCCATATGAAAAAATGCTCAACATCTCTAATCATCAGGGAAATGCAAATCAAAACTACAATGAGATATCACTTATTTCCAGTAAGAATGGCCTTTATCAAAACTTCCTAAAACAATAGATGTTGGCGTGGATGCAGAGAGATAGGAACACTCCTACACCTTTGGAAAACAATATGGAGATACCTTTGGAAAGCAATATGGAGATACCTTAAAGCGATACAAGTGGATCTACCATTTGATCCAGCAATCCCATTACTGGGCATCTACCCAAAAGATCAAATGATACTCTACAAAAAAGACACTTGCACTTGAATGTTTATAGCAGCACAATTCACAATTGCAAAGCTGTGGAAACAACCCAAGTGCCCATCAATTCATGAGTGGATTAATAAAATGTGGTATATGTATACCATGGAGTATTCAGCTAATATACTATTCAGCTCTAAGAAACAATGGTGATATAGCACATCTTGTATTTTCCTGGTTAGAGCTGGAATCCATACTATTAAGTGAAGTTTCCCAAGAATGGAAAAACAAGCACCACATATACTCACCAGCAAACTGGTATTAACTGAGCAGCACCTAAGTGGACACATAGGAACTACATTAATTGGGTATTGGGTGGGTGGGAGGGGGAAGGAGGGGATGGGTATACACACACATAATGAGTGAGATGTGCACCGTCTGGGGGATGGTCACGCTTGAAGCTAAGACTTGTGGGAGGAGGGAGGGTAAGGGCATTATTTGAAACCTTAAAATTTGTACCTCCATAATATGCTGAAATAAAAAACAAAAAAAACCCTACATCTTACTGTGTCATATGTGAAATCAGTATGATAAAAAGCTCATTAATTAAAAGCCCCAATTTAATAAAGCAAAAAAAAAATATGTTAATCTCATCCAAAAACACTCTCACAGAAACACCCAGAATAATGTTTGCCCAACTATCTGGGTATCCTGTGGCCAGTCAAGTTGATGCATTAAAATTAGCCATCACAGGTAGTAAGTAAAAATATTTCTAGAGCAATATTCTTGAGAGAGAGCCAGATACACATTTCATAGGTACAAATTTATTTATTTTGGATAATATAGGTATCTTTATATTCACTTATTTCTCTTTTATAAATAAATCTACTTTAAGTAAATATACTTCATCTGCTTTGCTTTTCAATATTTCTAGAACAGGGTTCCTCAACCTCAGCGCTACTGACATTTTGGGCCAGATATTTCTTTGCTGTGAAGGCTCTCCTATAGCATTGTAGACAATTTATCCTCATCCCTGACCTCTATTGCCCGTGTTTGGGAACTACTATTCCAGATTGGTATCAATATGATAGTTTGTTAACAGCTGTTGCATTGTGTTATCGTTAGAAATTTCAGTGTGATTTCTTTTATGTGCTTGCCTTCATTTTTCTTTAACCACTATGTAGATAACCTTCTCAGGGATTATCAGACATTTTGTATATATTTGGGGTTGCCTTATATTTCATGGTCTTTTCTATTAACTGTTGGCATGAAAATATACTAAATCTGAGCGTAGAATCAGGAAGTGGTTATATTTGTGGGGGGTACAATCACACACACATAGTTATATACACACACAATGTTCATGATGGTCTCATTTTTTGGTTTTGGCAAGTCAATAGCAGCTTGGTGGACTGGTTTGAATTCTGACAGCACAGATTACAATGTCTTAATTTGCAAATCAGTCCTCTTATACAATCATGCTTGATGTCCCACATTAATCTAAGACACGTCACTTGACAGGAGGTTAATGCCTGCATTGGGAAAGTATGTGATCCATTTCCTTACCACTGGCCAAGAACATCTCACTTTTTAGGGTTAAAGGGATGAAAATAATAGGGTTTTTAGCTACAGCTTGAATAAATTTTCATTTTGCAGGGGCTCTTTTTCTTTTTCCTTTAACTTGTTGGGTTCTAGTTCAGACCCTGGAGGATGGAATCCATTCCTCTTTCCTCTGTGAGTCCGTGTGTGTGACTTTCAGCCCACGTAGTGCATGAGCAGCAAGTCTGTGGTGTGCAAGACTGTGTGATTTGCTGGATTTTGGTTTGCCAGCCTGCCAGGCTCATTTAAAATTTCAGAAAATTCGAATGTGGAATTTTATATATCAGTAATGGCATCTGTTTGTTGTACAGATGTTTGCCTGAGTCTCCAAATAGACAGTTTGACTTTTGGTTTTGCTACTTAAACTAGGGTATGTCCCTTCTGAGATTCAGTTTCTTTGTAGTTTCTTAAGGACTATTTCAATGATTAAACATGACAGACTTTATATAAATGAAAACTGTAAACACAGTGCTAGGCACAGAGTAGGTAGCTGATCAACATTTTAAAAATGAGTTTAAAAAGTGAATTTGAGCAACATAATAAAAAATAATATTATTGCATTATAACTCAGAGTAAAGTAAATATCAATGAATCTATACTGATTTAAATATTAATAACTAATTGAATAAAAAAGTAAGTGGGGAAAAGGGACAGGTCTTTCTTACAGAGGACTTCCAATTAATAATTGTTGATGGAATGAGGGAAATAGAAAAATCACTACAGTAATAACTGTTGCAGGCAAGAACTACCAATGGTTGCTAAAATTAGTGGGCAAAAGTTTGAGGAAAAACAGATATTTGCATAGCTTCAAAGACTCTCCCCGAAGATAAAGGAAATTAAATTACAAAGGGAAACACAGTAACTCTATAGTGGAGAAAATTGGCAGACACCACCGTACCCAGGTGATCAAGGTTGACATCACCAGTACTAAGACACATTAACATTATATATGCCCTGATATGATAGATCTAGAAGGAAATACGACTTCTGTGGTAGTCTCGCGAAAAATGTGTAACTTCAATCAAATGAGAAAACAACAGACAAATACAAATGGAGGGTCATTCTACAAAATACCCGATGACTACTCTTCAAAAGTATGAGGTCGTGAAAGACAAGGAAAGACTGAGGAATTGTCACCATTTTGAGGAAACCAGAGACATGACAACTAAGTGCAATGTGGGATCCTGGAATAGAAAAAGACATTGCTGAGAAAACTGGTGAAATCCAAATATCGTCTGTAGTTAATTGTATTGTACCAATGTTGATCCATTAGTGCTGATAACTGTATTATGGTTATACAAGATGTTAACATTGGGGACGAAAGGGGAAAGGGATATGGGAATTCTCTATACTATTTTTGCAACTTTTCTGAAAGTCTGAAATTATTTCAAAATAAAAAATTAACAAAAAGCAAACGAGTAAGACAGCTGTAGTTATATTGTTGTCTTTTATATGTTTACAAAGTGCCACATACACTTGCAGCTCTTTCCACCACTATCACTGCCCCCTTCCTGCTGGGACCAGGCTTCGCAGTTTACAAATCTGCTCCACGTGTACCATCTCAGGGAATCCTTCACAATTCTGTGAGATAGTCCCCTTTCACGGCTGGTGAGCCTGAGGCTTAGAGAGGTAAGAGGCTGGCCTAAGGTCACCCAGCTACTCTTTCCCTTCTCTTGCACAATCACATGGGAGGCCAGGTGGAAGGCCAGAGAGAAGAACTCACTCTGCTCAACAGACATCACATGGAAGCCAGTGATACTTTATTATGTTAGAGAGTTGGCAAAAGGATAAATTAACTTCTGTTAATGAATTCCCATCAAACATTTCCGGTGATGCATCTGGTAACGGAGTTAACATAATAAGCTAAAAACTGATATTTACTGACTGCTTGCAATGTGACAGAGTCACTAAATAAGATGCAAATTCTATTGTGAAATTGAATCTTCATTAGGACTCAGAACAGGCCCATCTTCAAAGATTCTGATTTGCACAGACTGAGTACTCCCATTTCCAGAAGTTCAAATACCTCCTTTCTTATCTAAATGAGAGAAAAGAAAAGAATAAGGAAAAAAAAGGTTAAGATCAAGCAAAGATGGTCTTAGTAAATAAATTCAACCATCTGGACTCCCTGGTATTTATACAGCTGTTATGGCCCAAATCAGAGAGGGCAGAAGTCCTAATCCACATTTGATTCAGAGTTGAAATATTTATATAATTAAAGGAAGAGGTACTATATAAAATATCAGTCTCATTAAAATGCCACTTTTGTTGCAGCAATTCAAAATAAAATGCCATGCAAATTTATTTATTTTAAACGACTTTAATGTATGCTTTCTGTAACCCAGATCATATATAATATTTCAATATAGGATTTTATTGCCTTAGTATAACTGCTGATAATGACATCAACATAATAAAAATAACTATGGGTGACTAGATTTTTTTGGACACTATTTCTCATTATTATAATTAGAAAACTAGTAGATTAGTCAGATTTAACAAATAATAACTGAAGTCATCAAATATGGCCTCATGTACCTGACATCAAATTGATTAAACCAGTTTTTTAAAAAGCTATTAATTCAGGGGACAGAGTGAATGACTCTGTGTGTGAGTGTGCATGTGTGTTTAGGAAACTGAGCAAACTGTCTTTTAACCTGAACTGATATCTGATATAACTCACTGATCAATTATAATCCGGTTTGGTCATTCTGGGTACATAGCTTTATGTGGTAAATGAATAGATTGAGTATGTTTGGAGAAGTAATTCCAAGCATGTTTGATAGTTACTGCATGATTTATTCCTGGTTGGTGACTGGCAACCTTTTTTTCCCTAACAGCTTCTATGAAATATCAGGACAGATTGAAAAAGTAGCCCCATGATAACATGGTGGGAGGCAAAATCAATTTTTCACATTATGAAGATAATGGATTGCTTTCATAAATATATAATGAGCTAATGTTGTACCCATAAAGGCATTTAATCATTCAATTCTAATTCACTGAGACACCAAAAAATTTCCCTACCACACAAAAACAAAATATCTTTCTGAACTAAATAAGTGGGTTTTGGGGAATGTGGAGATGTTGGCAATGAGGCAAGTCTGTGCCTGGGCTCCCCCCACCCCAGCCAAAAGTGCCACATAAGGATAAAAGGCAAAAATGAGTGTGTTCATAAAGAAAGGCACCAGAAAAGTGCTAGGTCCTTCAGATCCTATACTTGACTCAACGGTCAAGTATACATGTGGTCCCCAGAGGGGAGAGGACATTGGTCATTTAATGAGCAATCAAGCTAACTCCTGTAAAATGTAGGAAAGGATACAGTTACATGTAAAAGGATGAGGTGGCCTCCACAATTGTGTTACCTCAGAGTTAAAAGATAGAAATCACTTCAAAAGCTAGAATGTGCTGGCGCCCCATTGTTAAAGACTTTTACTACTGTGTTTGAACTCAAGTTCAAATTGAAAAAAAAAATGATTAAAGGCAATTGCTGGTTACATGGTACCTCGGGAATGTCCATCATTCTCCTCAACTTCTGATCTCTCCAGTTCCAGTCGAAAACCAGAAACTTTAAGGGGTTCAAATTAAGGCCACCTGAAAGAGACAGGAAGAGCGTTGATGCAGTAAAGACCTTATGACATAAGCTTATTAAAATGATTTTTTATTCTCCTGCTTGCTCTTTGTCTCATTTGATGTCCTCTCCCCTGGCAACTAATGTCTGCACGTTAAGGCCTGCTCTTCCCTGATGGAAAACAAATGCAGCACTCAGAGTCTTGCTCTTCTTCTAATCTCATTACTGCTTCTGAGGAAAACAGAGAAGCGCTCTTGCTAAGCTCCTCAAACGCTCACCCGCTGGCCAAAGCTCCAGCTTTCATGAAGCCCAGAAGGTGCAGTTTCATTTCTGACAGGGATTTGATAGGCTGTATCCCGCAGTGTGGGGTAGTGGTCCTTCAGGGGAGTTGAGTCCACCAAGTCTGAAAGACTCTGAGGAGATGAGTGGAGAGAAGGGTGAGGACAGGGTTGGGTGGTTTGTTTTAGGCAGAAAAGGAAGTTAAGATGAATGGACTCTATTCAATTTCAGCTGTCCTTTGATGAGGCTGGTAAGTCACTTATGGACTCCATTCGTACTGTTTTCCTATCTGTCTAGAAGACAATTATGGAATGTGCAAGCTTGAGAGGACCTCAGGGATTGTCTGATTAATCCTCAAAGGTCTCAGAGTTGGGTACACAGTCAGTTCTTCCTCTGCTTCAAGCTGTCACCTGTCACACTTGGAAACAGTCCCTGAAGGCTTCCTCTACCTAAAGCACTTCCTGTCAGCTTTCCCCCATGGCTATTAAATATCTTCCTCTCTGCCCCAAATATTTTTTCAGGCTTCATATAATTAAAATGTCTTTTTAAAAAAATTATTTATTTATTTATTTAAGACAGAGTCTTAAATAAAGGAAAGAGGTGAATCCTTTCACTAAAAGCTGTAGGAGGGGCAGGGGCCAACCTGAGAGTCCATCCCTGGCCTCTGCTGATGCCCAGCCAATCTCTCCCAAATCTTATCCCACAGGACTATGGGTGCCTGTCTTCTGTTCCTTAACTTTCTTTTTCTTCTTCTTCTTTTTTTGAGACAGAGTCTTGCTTTGTCACCCTGGGTAGAGAGCAGTGGTGTCATCATAGCTCACTGCAACCTCAAACTCCTGAGCTCAAGCAATCCTCCTGCCTTGGCCTCCCAGAGTCATAGGATTACAAGCATTAGCCACTGTGCCCAGCCCTGTTCATTAACTTTCAATGCCTTCCTATGTCCCCAAGACAAAAATCCAAACTCCTCAGGTTATTGCTCAAGGTGCTCCCTCCACAATCTGCCTTTCTTTCTAATTGAATCACCTGCTACTGTAGCCCACAAAGTCTCTAAGCAAGAAAGTTGGACTATTTAATAAAAATAATAACTAGTATTTGTTGAGTGCTAAGACTATGACACTCTCTGTGCTGAGCTCTTTATTGGCATCTTTTTTGCATTACAGTTTTTGAGGTAGGTACCATTACTATCCGCATCACTCAGATATAGAAACAGGCTGAGAAAGGTTAAATAATTTGCCAAGGCCACAAAGCTATTAAGTTGCTGGAGCTGCGATTTAAATCTGGGGGTCTGAGTCTGCAACAGGGGCACTTAGCCTCCACACTGTATTGCCTACTCATTGACTCCTCTTGATGTGCCACATGTCTCTCTGCCTTCTCTCCTCTCCCATTCATGGATGCTTCCTCTGACTCTCCAGGCCTATTCAATCTGCCCCATACTTCAAAGATCAGTTAAAGACCCTTCCCTGCAGATTCAGGCCACCATAACAATCTCTCTCTCACTGCAACTCCTTTAGCACTTCCTAGTGCTCATTTGGCTCTTGGTCTTTACTGCCTCACGTTGTCAATCTCAGTCTATGTACATTTAGCTCTTTGACTGGAGCAGGAGCTCCTTGAGGTGGAAAAGGCTCTGGAACCAGGAAGGCCTGGACTGACAGACTTTGGGAGAAGCCACTTAACCCTCTGAGCTTCAGTTTTCTCTCAAGAAGTAGGAATGTTAGCCTATAAGGATGCTGTAAATGAGAAAACATATGTAAGGTTGTCTAGCATAGCACTACGTACAAGTAGAAACTTAAAAATGCTTGTTTCCCTTCCCTGTCAGGGGCTGCTAAATTTGTCACTTTTTTGTATTTGCACGAAACTCTGCATATAATCGGTTCAACTAACCCCGGATGATTTTCATCTAGAGAAAAACACCGGCATTAGCTTTTGCTTGTTTCCTGGCAAATGACCATCTCTATACTGAGTTACTATATTGATAAATAAATTACCTTTAGATATATAAAATAATCCAGGAATAGTTCCAGACAGTTATAAAAGAAAGTTCTATTACTATATTAAATAAGTAATTTGGGAATGAGTATTAAAAACACATCATTAAATCTGTCTGGTAGGTAGAACGGATCACTGGCAGCAGGTTAGCAGGTTCTTAGACTAATGGCTTTGAGAAAGTCAACAAACTATAAAAATCCACCGGTGGATTTTTTGTCTGGAATACTTTCTGGATAAAAACACTAAAAGAGATCTGCATTTGGGGAGAAATATTCCCGAATATCTGTTTTACATCCATAGAAATGGCATTTTTGTTTCAGTATGTTTTATGTATCAGCCCTCAACCAGAATGGGAGTCCTGGGGAACCAAAACTCCATTAAGTGAGAGGGAAACGCTCAACACATCCAGCTTTATAAATTCCAGAGGCTGCAAATTGGTGGAATGAGGGCTATACGCATCTACTAACCTGCTCATAGCAATCGCAATTTGAATGTGTTTAGGTGGCGTATGTACTTCAGTTTGCCACAGTCCTTATCATCCCCTACTGCATTATACTTGCGGCTTAGCTTCAGACTAAAGGCTGTTCCCAATTCCTGAATGAACACAGAGGTCTGGTTTCTTCATAGCCCAAATGCGGTTTTTGAGACTCACATGGGGGTGAGGCAAACTCCCAGCTCTGGGTAAGAGTATTGCTGCCTTCTTTTCATACCTTGTTTAATAAGTTCTTTAATTCTCCCTGGAGTTCCTACACCCAGGTGCACCACACGCTTCTCCAGCAATTTTACCTGCTCCTGGACCTATTCCAAGATGGAAGAGAAGAAAGAAAAGAGTCATTAAGAAAGTGCAATCATAGGCCAATTTAGAGCATTTTATTTCAAAATTAAGAAAGTAAGAAGCAAAATGGAGCTACCCTCGTTTAGGGTCAACTTCCAGGGCAAAGAAGAACATCTCCCTAGAAAATCAGTAAACCCTCAAAGAATCCAGGGGTCAAACCTCAGCTTCTATACAGGAATGGAGCAGGCGGAGTGACTGTTGTCAGGGGAGGGGGGTAGGTATGTGGAGGCAGGAAATTCAAAGAAAACCAGAATGGTTGTTAAATATGTCATGTAAGGAAGGCACCAAGGAAAACACTTGCTGAGGAGACTAGAAGAGGTTGAAGGGAAAAGACTAAGGTCTGGGAGTAGCCGTTGGGGGTCACTTTTATCTCCCATCAGAAACCTCGGGCCCTTGCTTACCTTTATGTGTTTTGCAAATAATTTCATAACTTTGCTGTCTCCTCGGAATGCTGTCATTGATCTAATGAAAAGAAACAGATTAATGCTTAAGGAAACTCACTCATTCTGGGCCATGTTGACTACGTAAGTATTATGTCTAGCTTTATTCAAAGAATGTATGCAGATGGATGTGTATATATTTGCGCATATGTGTACACACACACACACACAAGTTCTGAGATTTTCAGGTTAGCCTTGCAATGACAGTGGGGTGGCCTTTTATTCATTCACACATCTGGGCTGGCTTCTAACTTTCATATACAATGTTAACCATACTTAGGCTTCCTTCATTATTGAAACACTGGATCTGCCCTTCACTTGTAATACACAATACCTGCATGTCAGGTTCCTGGCAGAGAATTTCTCTTCCACCTCTGCAGTGTAGTTCTCATACAAAATTTGGTTGCAAGAGATATCTTAGAGCGATGATGTCAGCCTGTGCTCTACCAAGCCCAAGGGCATCTACAAAGGTCTGTGGCTGCTGTGAGGGGAAACGGGGCATGAGTAGACAGGAGGAAGACAGAGGGCTTATATCCTTGTATCAGAGAAGTGCTACTTTTATCTACTTTGTCTACTGAGCTTCTCTGTAAAATTTTATATGTGGAAATGCTTTAGCCATAAAGAAAGAAAAGAAGGAAGGAAGGGAGGGAGGGAGGAAGCAAGGAAGGAAGAATAAAAAAAAAAAAAGAAAGGAAACCAGTGATGCAAAGGACTGGCTGAGTTAGAGCTACGAGAACAGGTGGGTGTTATAAATGAGTGAGGCGCTCTGGGAGGCAGGTGTGAGGGCACTGGAGCGCTCATGCTCTGTAAAGTGTGTGCCGTTGTAAAAGGGTCAACTGGTGCTCAGCTCAGCCAGCTATTACGATGTGAGATCATGGGCCCAGTGTTACAAGACCCGATTTTTCGAGAAGCCAGAAATCTGGGTTTTTATATGTGCAACCAGATTTTATATATGAGCAATGCATTCAAATTTTTTTAGATACAAATACTTGTGGGGTAAACTGAGCTCTTAGATGGTCGATTTATAAGCTGTAGCCTACACGTAGGACAGGCAGTCCATTTAGTTTCTAGGTATTCAACAATCTGGATCTACCTACATCAATCCAGACTGCCAGCTCTAGGGTCAGACCATGCTGGCTGTGGCCTTACACACCTGCCTTTCCTACCTCTGCCTTGGCAGCTGGCCCGCAGCCTGCACCAGTGCTGCTCTATAAAGAGCCATATCACATCTTCTGTCCAACGTTTTTCTTGTAGAGATGATACTAAGGATGCTGCCACTATGTCACCGTGGGAAAAGCTATATTTCTTAGGGAACTTTTTCTTTTCTTAAATCCAGAGAATGTCACAAATCTGGCAACTGATGTCTCCCAGCTCATCCTGGCTGCTGGAAAGTTCAGGCCCACAGGTGGGGCCACCTTTGCAACTAAACAGAGCTTTACAGAAGTGATCTTGAGCATCATTCTAAGTGGCTTCACTTGATTTTGTGGTCTTTTTTCTTTGCTTCCATTTTCACTACCTGTTTTTATTTGCCATAGGTATTTCCATATATGAACTAAAATTTTGTTTTGATAAAAAGTGGGTATTAATGAATGATCTTTTAACTGATATTTGGGGACAAAACTAAACTGGAAATAACTACTTTCCTTTACATATCATTATTATGTTTTGAGAAATATTATTGATCAGTGGGAACATATGAGTTTGCAAAATAGTAAATCATGCTGTATATGCTTTGTTGCATTCAATTTTTACTTACACATAAGCTTTCTCCATGGCAAGGTTAATTAGGAAGATAATTTAAAAACTCAAGGTTCTCAAGAGAACAGATGTTCTTACAAAAGTTAGAATTATTAAATATTAGTCTTTATGAATAGGGCTTGTTGTGCCTGCTCAGAAATCACTTTTTGCAAATCACCTAACCTTGAAATGGATCATAATATTACTGGGGACACAGAAAAATGCTGAGAATTGGTAAATGGGGTATGACAACACAGTGCTTTTATGCCCCTCAGAAAGAAATTTATGTATAGTAGAAGCTCAAATCAATTTGACAACTTGAATTTAAGAGGCTACCTCCAGGCCAACCTCTTTGGCATCAGTGTTTGAACCTGAAATGAGTTCTGTAGTAGTTTTTAAAGCACTGAAAAGTCAATGTGAACTCCTGTGATTTTAGGACCAGCAAGTAGAGATTCCAAGAAACAGTTGGAGTCTTGGAGATCAATTATGTGTGGAGCAGAAAGTTGAAGGAAACTCTTTGTTTTACTAGGAGGGTATGTGACACAATTTAATGTGTGTACTTAGGTGGGGAAAGGAGCGCTTGAAAGACAAATTTAACAATCATTATTTCCTAAATTCATGATTAGATTAGTTCATTGAGAAAAATAGATGCTAAATAACTACTGAATGTCTACATTTGCACCTTAGTCTGTTTGACCAGGTTCATTTTTCTTCATAACTTGGATTTTCCTTTGTTTTGTCTCCTCTCAAAGCCTGGCCCCAGTAAGAGAGAGCTGGTCCCAGTAAGTCCACTTACTCTGATGGCTCCTTACTGAAAGCTGAATATTACCACTGACCTAGTCGAAGCCTTTTTGTTTATTCTACAAAAACTACAGTAAATAAAAGGGTATGCGAAAGTATTTAGTAAAACACTGACAACATAACTTTAAAACATAATTTTTACATCTAAATTTTTGGTCCATTTGGAATTTATCTGGTATAAGAAGTGAGACATGAATCCAACTTTATTTTTCCAGATGGCTACTCAGTTGTTCCAACAGCACTTATTATATAACACATCTTTCCCTACTGATTTCTGATTTGTCACCTTAGGCATATGCTACATTTTCATATGCATTTGGGTCTATTTCTGAACTTTCAATTCTGTTTCACTAATCTGATTTGTCATGCATGTGCCAGTTCCATACTGTTTTAATTATTGAGACTTCACTTTATATATATATATATATACATACACACACACACACACATATATATATAAAAGGTCTGTCCAGAAAGTATGCAGCCATGTAATATATATTTTATTAACAATGGCTGGATACTTTCCAGACAGACCTCTTTTTCAGAATTTCCCCACCTATTTTTAGTTGTGTATTTTCCCACATGAATTTAGAACTAGTTCATCCAGTTTAAAACACAATTCTTTTGCAGTTTTTTTAGGAATCTGTGAAATTTGTAGATGATCCTAAGTTAAACACACAACTTTACAACACTGAGTCTACCTATTCAAGAATACAGTGTACCTTTTTTGTTGTTGTTCAAGATTGTCCATATCCATTATATGATGTTTTCTGTATATAGATTTTGGTTAAGTTTATTCCTTGGTTTTCTATCTTTTTTTGTTACTATTTTAAGTCAGATGTTTTCTTCCATTTTTTTCTTCTAACTGGTTGTTGCTGGTATGATCTCCCTGCTTTTACCTTTGCCCTCCACCATGTGTGTTCTCTACACAGCAGCCAAAGTGATCCTTTATAATGATGATACGGATCATGTGACTCCTCAAAATCCTCCAGTGGCATCCTATCTCAGAGTCTTTTCTACTTCCCCTCCCTTCTACCTGGCATGCTCTTCTCCCAGATAGCTGCTTAGCTCTGTCCTTCACTTCATTTGAGTCTCTGTTGAAATCTCATCTCCTTAGAGAAGCTTTCTGTGACTACCTTTTTTGAAGTAGTCCCTGTCTACTTCTATCCCTTTGTTATGCTTTATTTTTTCTTTAGATAACTTATCATTCTTTAGATAATATATCATTCTTTAGATATTATTCTTTAGATAACTTATACCTGACATTATACTGTATCTTTTTTTGTTTATTGTCTGTCTTGCCAACTGCAACATAAATTCCATGAAGGCAGAAACTGTTTTGTTCATTGGTGTATCTCTAGCAAATAGAACATATTAGCTTGGCCATATCAGTTACTCAGAGCACATTTATGAAATAGAATAGGTGAAGCTTCCAACCTAATGAGCTCCAGGGCTCGGATGGCAGAGCTGCAGATGATCAGCATCAAGACTGATTTCTTCTCGCTGTGGTTTTTCCGAAGTTTTACCCACTTAGGACAGACTTGAAAAAAGACCACAAAAAGTTATTCTAAATATAGCAAAATTGGGCCCCTAAAGTTGAATATTCCCCAATTAATTCTTTGTTAGTGTTTAAGCATCATAAAATGTAATGACCACTGTTCATTATAATTAATTATAATTCTATTTTCTGGTTATGGTAGATATTAGATTCAAAGAAAATATCATTCATTTACAACACAAAACATATAATATGACAAGTACCTAAATGTGAATGAATAGTTTTAGAACTAAGTAAAACAGTTTAGAATAATATTTTTAATATTTTCTGGTTCATGCTTTAAAATAATTGACTAAATAGGGAAAAAATTCTTGTTCAATAATGTTAAATTTTAAAGGGACACTCAACATAGATATTAGAACCTTTAAATAATAGTAAACATTTATTAAACATTGACACTATACTAAGCCCTTTATATACATTTTATTTTCTAGTTCTCATAAGATAGTGAAGTTGATTCTATTATTATCTAGATTTACATTTGCTGAATTGGATGCTGAGAAAGGTTTATGGTTTCAAGTTGAGTGTCATCAGAATTGCTTACAGTTTGAAGGAGGAATGGTAAATCTCTACATCTAACTTTCATTGCTGGCCACACATAAATGACCACTTGATATGAATAATCTAGTTATCCCTGGCTACACACAATACATGTTGAAAAGATCTAATTAGATTGTCTTCACAATAGTCATGATCTGAATTTTTTATTTTTTTGAAACAGGGTCTCACTGGAGTGCAGTGGCATCATCATGGCTCACTACAACTTAGGCTCCTAGATTCAAGTGATCCTCCCACCGCATCCTCCTGAGTAGCTAAGACTACAGGTATGTAACACCATACTTGGCTAATTTTTCTACTTTTTGTAGAGACAGAGTCTTGCTATGTTGCTCAGCCTGGTCTCGAACTCCTGGCCTCAAGTGATCTTCCTGCCTCAGCCTCCCAAGTGCTAGGATTATAGGTGTGAGCCATGGTGCCTGGCCATGATCTGAGTTCTGAACATGCGAACAGAATTTCAGAATCTCACAGCTGGAATACAGATCACATGGTTCCTCTTCCCTATCTTTCATATAACAAACTCAGGTCTGGGAGAGTACTCAGTGACTTGTCCCAGGTCAAGTAGCAAATCAACAGGGGACCTGGGACTAGAACACTATTCTCTGGAGTCCTTAGACCAATATTTCTAATGTAATATAAAACAAAAACGAGACCCAAACCCAAATTCTCAAACTGAAGTAAAACAAGAATAAATATAAATAGATTAAAATCAGAGTTTACTTACTTTCTTTTAGGTATGATGAAAGACTATGAGTCAAATCATTGGCTTTGAGGAAACAGGAATCTAGAAATATGAGAAACATGGTTTGTAGAGAATTTTACAAACATACACACAATCAAAAGAGATGAAATGTAAATGAGGTATTCTTGAATAGGCTGTAAAACATTAGAGGATTGGGGTTTCATTATATTAAAGTACTATCCAGTATTTAACTCTTTTTTTTTTTTTTTTTTTTTTTGAGACAGAGTCTCGCTTCGTTGCCCAGGCTAGAGTGAGTGCCATGGCGTCAGCCTAGCTCACAGCAACCTCAAACTCCTGGGCTCGAGTGATCCTTCTGCCTCAGCCTCCCGAGTAGCTGGGACTACAGGCATGCGCCACCATGCCCAGCTAATTTTTTATATATATATCAGTTGGCCAATTAATTTCTTTCTATTTATAGTAGAGACGGGGTCTCGCTCAGGCTGGTTTTGAACTCCTGACCTTGAGCAATCCGCCCGCCTCGGCCTCCCAAGAGCTAGGATTACAGGCGTGAGCCACAGCGCCCGGCCGACTATCCAGTATTTAAAATAACAGCAGCACCAACAATAACTTTTTTGAGAGGACAGGTTCTCACTCTGTTACCCAGGCTAGAGGGCAGTGGCATCATCATAGCTCAACTGCAACCTCCAACTCCTGGACTCAAGTGATCCTCTGCTTTAGCCTCCCTAAGTGTTAAGATCACAGGCATTAGCCACTGTGCTGGGCCAACAAGTAAAATTTTAACCCTCAACAAGTAAAATTTTAACCTTCCAATAACCCATCAGTTATTAGAGCAGTGAAAAAGAAGGTTGTTTTATCGTTTCAGACTAATGAAGCACATTTATTTTTCAAATCCATAAAACAGGCACTACATAATGACAAAATGAAGTGGCTAACAAATCTATGTAGAGATGCTCAAACCCATTAGTCATCAGAGAAGAGCAAATACACACTCATTAGAATGGCAAATGTTAGAAAGATGTATAATGCTAAGTGTTGTCGAGAATGTAGGTTGATGGCAACTCTTGGGAACGGTAGGTGGAAGCATAAATTGGTATATCTATTCTGAAAAGTAGTAATATTAAGATGTATAACACTATGACCCCAATATTTCATTTCTGCATAAATAATAGGAAGAAATTCTTGTGTGGTCTATAAAGGCACATACAAAAGGATATTCATTCTGGCATTATTTGTGATACTAGAGGCTTAAAGCAACCTAGATGTCCATATTGGGGAAAACGGATGAGAATATGTGGTAGATAAAAATATTGGAATATAATGTAGCATTAACAGAAGGAATGAGCTAGATATGCATATAGCCATAGAGGCATATCTTGAAAAAGTGTCAAGTGAAGAAAGAAACGAGAGGATCAGCACAAAGTCATCTAGATAAATTTTAATATGTACCTACATATACAACATGACATATTTTATAAGAATTTCATAAGAATATATACATATTTAAAAATGTACATCAACACATTAAAGTGAATGCCTATAAGGAAAGGAAAATAGAGTGTGGATTGGGAAAGAATGGGAATAATGCATCAAAATACAACACAACACAATAAAAGACAACATAACACATTAAAGTAAAACAGGGGCCTTGCCCAACCAATGATAATCATGGACTAGCAATTATGTAGTATTAACTCTATACCTGATAGGAATAACAAAGCAACATCATGGTTATCATTCTAATTCTTTCTATAAGAAAAAGTTTGTCTATAAATCCAGCATAGTGTTAGGGAGTAAACTATTACTAAATTAAAGGAAATGTATATTGTGACCCAGCACATACAACTCACCTTATGTGAGTAACTAACTTCCAAGCTGTTGCCTCCTTTATTGTTGTGGAGTCTTTTATGGTCTTTAAAATTGTAATTTCCCAAGTTTGGATATGATCAGACTCACCTGGAAAGCTTTACAAAAGATACAGATTCCTGGTCTCCCTTTTGCATAGTGAGTCAGAACCCCTTGGAGGGCCTGGGAATCTCCTTTGAGAGGTTCCTGGGTGATTTGGTTGCAGCTAGCGTACAGGCATTTAGGAATCACTGATCTAAACTATACTCCAGCTCTTAGGAGACAACAGAGAAGTTAATTAGCTCCAGGTGACTCCAGGCTCAAACCCTAATTAAGTCCTCATGTGTATGACATTAACAATGTACAGTGTACAACATTAATTGAAAAGACATGTTCCTGTCCTACAGACACAAACAACTTCAAATCAAACCCAAGTTAGTGACTTGACAAACTAAATAGGAACAACATTTTATTATTTATATCTACCTTATATTTATCCCTTTTTTGAGCCTGTCCCAAATAACCCACGGTATCTCCCTCCTCTCACCTACCATAGACTTCTCTCTGTCCTTAGTCTCAATAGTGTAGCAACCAAGGCCTTTTTTCCTAAACCTTCCTATGATGTCTCAGTTTACTGTGTCTCAGAATGGCCTAATTTCTTAAATGAAAATGAAAACCTGTTCTTTCTGGCTATAACATTATTTCTAACATAATTTCCTTCTTCTCTAAACCAACCCATGTCCACACATTCTTGCCTAACTATACTGAACTCTAATAAAATAACAATGTAATGCAAATTCACTATGGAACTCATATGACTTCTTAAAGGTTTTTTCTGACCTTTGACTCTAGAATTCTAGAGAGAATCAAGGTTTGTGATATCCCAAGAAGTTACAGAATAGTAGCAGCCCCATTAACTTTCCAAGTTCAAGTTATGTTCTAACAAAGAACTAAAACTGACCATGAATCATAGGAAAAACCAAACTTTAGTTAAAGCTTAAAAAGTGGTTTTGTATAACACTTGGTTCGTGTGATAGAGCAGTCAGGACATAGCTCTCACTCGAGAGGCACCAGTGTGCTGAGAAGAGTGGTTTTCAATTGCTGTGGGAGCCGTCTGGGGTCAGTAAGTCTAAAACTCCAGATTTTGCTCATGTGCAAACACACTCCTTCAATTCCCTAAAGGGTAATCTTCTTGGAAAAGAAACAGACAGGGGCACTCATGTCTCCAAACTCAATGTGCGTTTGTAAAAAAAGCATATCACAAAAGAATTATAAAAATCCAGGGAACAGACTGTTTCTCAGCTTCTCAAGCTTCTAGAAAGCATAAGTTGTAATGGAAAAAGGAAATCAAGCTACCCTCGACTTTTTCCAAAAGCAGTATTAGATATCCCTAGTAGTCTATAAATAGTGCATCTTAAGTAGTGGCACCCAAACTTTTATGGTTTGATTTTATGACAACATCTATTTTCTTCCATCGCTACCAAAAAGAGTTATACAGCATGCATCATAATTTTGATTAATTAAAATTAGTTATTATAATTTTGCAATATCTTCTCTCTTAATTATAAATACACTAAGGCAGTAGATCTCAACTTCAGTAAGCTTAAGCATCACCTGAGGTGAGGTGTTGGCCTTGCTAGAAATGTAGAATTTTGTTCCTACTGTTAGATAGTCTGCTTGAAAAAGTCTGGGCTGCAACCTGAAACACTACCCTAAAAGCAAAACCATGACTGGAAATCCGTGAGAAGGACAACAAAACTAAGATGCTTATTAAGGCTAAAGTTCTTGTCTATAAAGGATGAACAAAATAATGTTTCATATCTATACTTTTATAAATGTATACTTTAACTTTTGTCCTCATTAGGAATTTTTCTTGAATAGTCCACTTAAAAAAATACACATCCAACAATTAGCCTTTTGAATAAAAAAGAAAATACAATCTCAAATCTTATTATTAGATTCAAAAAAATACTGCTTAGCATCCTAATAAGCAAATCATTAAAACTATTAGGTTGAGAAAAGGAATATTAGCACATGGAAAATATATTAATTTACTGACAGAGATACCCAACCATGGCATTCAGTGGAGGAAAGATGAGCCTGTTCTGCTCTTCATCGTTAGGAAAACTGAAGCCTGTTTGTACCTGGCAAGTTCAGTTCTTCTAATTCGATCACTGAACGACTGCTGCTATAATAGTCCTTCATCAGCTGCTGTAGGTCTGCAGGTGTCCCTGGTTTGGGCTCCGATTTTGCAAGAACATCAGTAATTTTCTTCTAAGATATGAGAAGGAAGCAAAATAAAAAAGTTTAAAATGGCATTTGGCTTAGAATAACAGGTCGAGTCCTCTGGCATTTAAACTACACTTAGCTTTTGGTGATAGCCAAGTGTGAATGTGAGTTCTAATAAATACACTTGAGAAAACTTATTGAGTACTTCTTGGACATAACTATTGTTTTTAAAAAACGAACAGATGATCTAAAAGGCTCCTTGTAACTCTTGGTCTATGACTTCCAGGAGACCTGATATTTTTGCAGTAGTCTTCATAATAGGGTATTATTTTCTTTTAAAAGTCAAGAAATCTTGTTGTTATGGAAAGCTCACTTTTAGTCCTAAATGATTTGTGTTCCTGGAAGAGGGGAATTTTGAGGATTTCTTGCTTACCCTGGTTTCTGAGGTGGTGAGCCTCAGTTTGGATTTCTGGCATTAGAGTAAAACCTGCAGAAGTAATCTGAGCACAGGAACCTACTGAAAGGGGAACTTTACACCTTCCATTCCCAAGTCTTCTCGACTGACAGTCTTAAAGTGGCCCTATAGAAAGTAGAAAAGGTACTATAGGAAAAACTTTCTAATATCTATTTTGACTTGGACTCATTTGTGTAGCATTTATTGAATGCCTCCAATGTACTGGAAACACACAATCATTCATTAATTTCTCATAAACTTTCCTGCATATTTCCTTCTAATGTTCTATCAAAGATCCAGGAAAGAGCCATTCCCCACTCCCAACCCCAGCCTTTTTCCCTCCTTCCACAATATCCTCATTTCTATACCACTGCCAAGAATGGGCCAGTTCTGTCAAAAGAATTAACTTTTAAAAATATGTCATCAGTGGGCACATATTAGCATGACCTCAGTCAAGGCTAAACTGTCTAGCCAGAGTTCTGACCTTGAGCCACCAAGAACTTAACACTCCTGAAGGCCATTAGTGTACAAACTATCAAAGAGAAGTTAAAGTTACTTCTTTAAGGACTTGCCAAACCTCAGCCAATTTGGCATCTCCCATCTTCCTATTTGGCTATTTGCAAGAAAAGAAAACATTTGTGCACACACACTCTCAGTTTTCTAAAAGCTTGCTGTTAAGTAATTGGTTTGAGTCCATCTTCTTTCTTCTAATCCCAATCATATTTCTTCTGCTGACTTCAGCAGCAGACCCTTCTTGGCAGGGAGAGAATTACACTGATGTTTTCACAACTGTGATGGAAGGTCAAAGCTAACCATACTTTCTCCAAGGCTGAGCAGTGAAAACGTTTGCATAGGAGCAACACAGTCATCCCTATGCAAGGGGACCTTTTTGCCTTAAATTATGGTTCCAAATTAGACTCAGAAATGCCTTATTCTACCTTCATCTGTTTATTCTTTTCTTTTTATTAATACACTAAGGTATAATGTCTTAAAAACTGAAATGAGTAAGAAAAGAATGTTGGTTGATATACTTCTTTTCTTAGATAGAGGCAGAGAGGCCAGGAAGGAGAATAGCTCTGGGCTCCTTCTAGAATTAGAAACCCATGTCTGACATCTAACCACAGTAAAAACACAGGGTGGGGAACAAAGATGTTTGGTCCTCCACAAGACTGAAATAGGAGTCGGAAGAATTTATTTCTAGCTCCAACAGAAACACTTATTACTAGTGACCTTAGGAAAGTCATCAAACTTCATTGAATCTTACGATTTCTGCATCTCTAACATGGGGATTACAATAGTTGCCTCATCAAAGTATGATATATACAAATGTGATGGAAACCATATGGAGTCATACCACTGTAAGAAATTATTAATATTACCTTTCTCCTTTTCCTGGTCTTGGTGGAATCCTCTTTTGTTTTCCTTGGTTGTATCAAGAAACACTCTTTAGGCTATAAAAAATACAAATGAGAAAACTTTCATCTTTGTATGATGAAGTGTCAATTAATGGTATGAATTCCAAAGTACTTTTCTGCCATGCATGTATTCTTCAGAGTATCTTGGTAATACTCTACAGGAAGAGGGATGCTGAGAGACCCACTTTAGGTTATTATGCAGGGGCTGGGCTGAGAGCATTTCTAAGAAAGTCAGAAAGTGCAGATGACTTAAGACTGGAAAATCTTTGAACGAAGATCAAACATGTGAGTGAGTGTGTATGTATATTTGGGGTGGTGGTGCAGGGTACTAAAGATTGAAGACAGTGGCTGGGTTTATAAAATATAGTGAGAAATACATATGATTAAAATAAGATGTGGTAAGACAGTCTTTGACTAGAGTGACTAGGGTCTTCCATGAACTAGCTGTGTGTGAGCCTGCATTTCAAAGTCACTGGTTTATTATTTTGTATTATCCATTCCTTTCCTCTTTTCAATAAGGATAGAAAATCCAAAGTAGGATATATTTACTTATGTTTTTATAAAATCAGCTGCACCAAATGCCTTTTCTATAGTGACTACAGTCTGACAACAGTCTCGTGCACCACAGCATCCAGAGTCATCTGTTTTGCCTGTTGCCTTGACCCCCAAGTACCCTATACAGTTTAGTGCTATTTTTACCCTAAGTGTTTTTTTTAATGTGGAAAAACAGGAAATTTGGACTAAGACCTTGATTTATAAAATAGAATGCCCCAGATTCCATATTTATTAATCATAAGTAGGAGTATAAAATGTTTCCTGTGCTGGACCTTTTATGCAGCATTTTCAAACAAGTTGCCAAGAAAGATATAAAATGTAAGTGAAAACTTATTTTGAGTTTTCCCTTGATTAAGTTTCCATTCCAACTATAGAGTCTTCAGTTTAAGCTGGTAAGCTACTAACTAAAGCAATTTATGTCCACTGGCTCTGTTTAAAATGAGTACAGGTGAATCTTTCTATGAAAGTTTGTAGACAGCCTGCAGATTAAGAACATCTATGGCCTAAAATCAGAGAGAAAGATACAATGCTACATAACAATTTCTTTGAAACATGGGGCCAAACACCAGCAGTTTTTAGACTTTCTTTCAGTTAGTAGAGAAGTAGATTCAAAAGGTTTAGGATTAAAGTAACATGGGAATCTTGAAATTTTAGCTTCCTTTCAGTTAAAACAAAAAATCTGCAAAGAGCAATTGCATCATAGCTGAAGAAAAGAAAGACATTATGACCTCTCTTATTTAGAAAGTTAAGCTATTTTGTGGCTATAGACACATGCCAATTTGATGCTGGTACATGCCAATTAGAAACTGGGCCAAGGCCACTAATATGTCACAGAAGCTGCCAGATGGTCATAAGAGTCCAATTATAGACCAGGCCAACATTCAGCTCATGTTCCTAAGGCAAAGGCCTGGATACCATTAGCAGATCCCTTAAGGCACACTGCAGTATCTCTACACCAGTAAGAAGGTTTTTCGGAAGCATATTTAGAAACCTGTTGCATTTTCATACTTAGCATATGCGGGTATTCTCTGGAAGTATGTTCAACGTGCTGGTTGTATTTATGCCAGGTTTACAAAGCCAATTAACTCCAACATGATATAAATTAAATTTAGAAATGAGCTCAGTTATAAGGAAATGGACTCTTCAATTCTGGAAGAAAAAATCAAAACGTAATTCTGAGTCATGCATAGGAAAAATGAAACATACTTGATGAATTGCTTTAGCCAAGATACTGCATCAGATTTAAATGTTTGGTTCAAATTCTTAGATCATCCCTAAGGAAATGCAATATAATATTTGTGTTTTGGGACTAGTAATCTTAGTTGGCTGGGGTAGGGTGCTAATGATGAGGCCAATTTTATAGGGTCAATTTCCATGACGGGGAGATGGCTTTATGGAGAAATCTAAATCCACAGTATTGAAAATTCCTAAGTTTAGTCAGCTGCCTTATGAATGTTGATGTTTACCCTCAGAGAGACTGGGTAAGAAGATGTGGAAGAACCTGGCCAGGCCGCTAACTGTTTCTGAAAACCAATTCCAATAATATGTGACTGTAATAGTTGATAAGTAATGTCATTTCTTTATATGAAATGTAGCAATTTTAAATATGTAATCTGAAGAATCATACTCCCCTAAAAATTTATGGGAAAAAACAGCCTTTAAGAGAAGCAAGTGGGGCATGTTTTCAATTCCATAATGTATCAAAAATTGGTTAAACATGGCAAATCAGCCTCAAAATGCCACTGAATTGAAAATAAAGGGCATTGAAAAGGTATGAATCTATTAAGGACCAAGAAACCAGGAGAGAGAACAACAGTAGTAGAGATATTTCAACATTATTTTGGAAAATAGGAAACTGGTTGAACTGGGTAGAAGTGACTTAGCGGAGAGAGAAAGCTAGCACCTGGGTTTCTGAAGCAGTGGAAGCTAACAATAAGTCTGTTTGACACCTATTGAACTCTGAAAAGGTCTAGTACTTGGAGGCAAAATGTACTACAGAGAGTAAAGGTTTGAAAAGAAAGGGATTGGTTAGAGTTTATATTTAGAATGCTTGGCCCCTTATCCTCCACTAGGATTTATCTCCTATCTTAGCATACAAGCAATTATCTCATTACTGCTTTCTTTCACCTTGCCCTTTCTGGCAGCAGACTGGAGGTTTATCCTCTGAAGATGTCAAGAGGATCAAGTCTGGGACAGGGAAGAGAAGGCAGAGGCTGAGGCTCACCTTTGTTTTCTGCTCCTGTTCCAGTTACATATTATAGGCAGGAGACTACTAAATTCTCTAGAAAAATGGAAAGACATAAGAGAAATGCCTCATGACAGTGACATTTGGAACTCCTATACTAAAAATCCAGCTTGTTATCCTATCACCCTACCAGGAAGTACTCTAATCAAGACTCCCTCATGCATAAAAATTTCCCATCAATTTTTTAGTGTATCTCTCTTCAGTATGAATAGATAACTAAGGTTCATCAGACATCTAAGGAAATTCTCCAACATGAGAGCAAACAAACAAACAAAAAAGAAAAATAAACTCAGAAGAAAAAGCTACGGTACTTCAAAACAATTGCAGTTAATATCCTCAGAGAGATAAGGGAAGATTTTGCAGCCATGAAACAAGAACAAAATAATGTAAAAAAAGGAACAATCTGAAAACATTTAAACATTAAAACAAATAAGAAAGTTGAAATAAAAATATAAGAGGAAGGCTTGAAGATAAAGGAGGCAATCTCTGAGAAAGAGAAGAAAAGTAGGAAGAAAAAATGGTGAGAAAATTAGAGGATCAGCCCAAGAGATTCAATATTTCAAGAAAAGGTATTATAGAAAAAGAGGTCATATAAAATAGCAGGGAAGGAGTCATCAAAGAAATAATACAAGAAAATCTTTTCAGAACAGAAGGAAACTTTCTAGAACATGAAACTCCAAATTGAAAGCCCATTATTTATATAGTAGAAGACAATAAAAAATACCCACACCAAGAAGCATCATTGTAAAAGTTCAGAAAATCATGGACAAAGTTTCTAAAAATTTCTAAAAATTAAAACAACAACATACAAAATACAAAGGATCAGTAAACAGGAATAGTATCAATACCTCTCAACAGCAATAATGGACGCTAGAACTCAATGAAATGATGCCTTCAAAATTATAAGTAGAGTTTATTTGCAAATGAGACTTTTATACCCAACCATACTATCAATCAAGTGTAAGAATAAAGTCACATTCAGATATATAAAGTCTCAAAAAATTTACTCCCTTTTCACAGATAGTGAAGGCTATATTCTAGCAAAATATACTCAAAAGCTAAAATAAGAAAAAGGAAGATATATGATTCAGAAAAAAGGGAGTCCAATCCAGGACAGTGTTTAAGCGGCATCCCAGGATGACTGTTAAGAGGCCTCAATTGCTCAGTGGTCCTAAAGAATAACTAATTAAGAATGGAAGAAGAATATGGAGGTCTGCAGGAAAGAAAAACAATTGATCTGCTTGACCATATGGAAAATATTATTCATGGGCATGTGGAAGAGATGTTGGAACATATGGAAACAATTAACAATAGGAGCAAAGCAACCCAGGCAAATAAAGAAATGAGACAATTATTAATGCCATGAAAACAAAGAGTTGTATAAGAAAGGAGGGATGATTATAGCTTCTCTTTTTCTCAGCATTGAAGAATACTTCCATCACTATAATAATGTATAGTGACAACTGTTTTAACCAAAATGTGATATTGTGTTGGCAGGGGAAACAGCAGTTGGAGGGGGACTAGGAGGGTGATGGGAGAGCTATGTCCTCATATACTATATCAGGAGGTCAGCAGATTACATTAGAAAGTGATAAATTAAGAGATAGCAATATAAACTACAAGGTAGCAAATAAGGAAAAAAGCTAGAAAAGTTGAGGTTTTATCTGAAGAAAGGATTAGGATGAAGGTGGGAAAGGAGATTGCTATTTTTTCCTTTACAATCTTCAATGGTGTTTGATTATTTAAAAAAGATATGTATGATTATTACATTGCAAAAATAAAACATTTAAATTGCCATTTTATAACAGTTTCGTTATGTTCATTATAAAGACAAAACAATTTAGAACTGGCGTTTAGTTTCTTCTGTGCTTGGCCAAAAGCTATTCAATACATATCCACCAAAATGTCTAAAATTAAAAGACTAATTACTACAAATGTTAACAAGGATATAAAGCAACCAAAACCCTCATACACTGATGGTGGGAGTGCAACATGGTACATTTTGGAAAAAGATTTGGCAGTTTTTATAAAACTAAATATGACTGGCCAAGATTCATGTTTTTACTGAACAGAAATAAAAATATATGTGTACAAAAACATTTGTTATGTGAATGGTCATGGCAGATTTATTCATAGTAGTCCCAAACAGGAAATAGCTTGATAAACAAAATGGTATATTCATATAATTGAATATTGCTTAGTGTTATGGACTGAATTGTGTCTCCCTAAAATTTAT